ATTTAATCATGCCTTCTACCAACTTACTCAGAGCAGATGCTAGTAGTCCTGATCCCTTTTAGGGACGAGGGAGAATCAGTGTTATGCTGGTTACTTTTCAGTCTTACAGTAAAAATGCCAGTTTTAGTGACAAGTTGTATTTACTTATTTTTGACAGGTCAATAGTTTAATATTTGATTTATTTATGAACATTTGGGATTATGCCATTGGGTACTTGATTTTCTCTCTCTTCAGTTTAGAGGATTATATATTGACGTCTCTGTTTGGTTTAGGATCTAAATATCCTCTTTCCCATTCATTCATTGAAAAAGAAAACGGGAATGGATAACTTAAAAAAATACAGATATTTTAGACCTTGAGGGTGGCTTTATTTTAGACCACTATGGTGGCTTTAGCCAATAGAAGCGATATCCTTAAAACATTGACAGTTATGGCTTAATAGGAACAGGAAACCTTACTATAGAAACTAATTGTGCCTCTAGGGGATGTTATGGTGTCATTGTATGTTTACCTACCAACCAACCAACCCACTGAGAGCACCCATACATCTACCTGTTGCAGTTGGCTTGACATAAAGTTTATGCATTTATAAATTGCATTAGGCTTTAAATTACTGCATCACTCATTAAGGTTTTTGCTGCAACAGATTAGTATAGCTACCCCTTTAGACGTCTATGGACTCAGCTGCAAATAAAATGTTTTAAATGTGTGAGCGATGCAAAATTCAATGCATTTTCCAAAACGTGTTTTTTTTATTTTTTTAAAAAGCATTTTCACAGCATTTCTTATAGATTCCACCTATGTATATGGTAAAAGGTAAAGGTACCCCTGACCGTTAGGTCCAGTCGTGGACGACTTTGGGGTTGCGGCACTCATCTTGCTTTACTGGCCAAGGGAGCCGGCGTTTGTCCGCAGGCAGTTTTTCCAGGTCATGTGGCCAGCATGACTAAGTCGCTTCTGGCGAACCAGAGCAGTGCCCGGAAACGCCGTTTACCTTCCCGCCAGAGCAGTACCTATTTATCTACTTGCACTTTGACTTGCTTTCGAACTGCTGGGTGGGCAGGAGCAGGGACCGAGCAACGGGAGCTCACCCTGTCACAGGGATTCGAACCGCCGACCTTCTGATCGGCAAGCCCTAGGCTCTGTGGTTTAGACCTTAAAGCAAGGCAAATAGAATGGGATGCCCAGCCAGGGAACTGCAGGGGGTCCTGAGCCAGAAGCAACCCAGAGCAACCCTCTCCCTTTCCCCATTGCACCCCAATGGGTGTGCAGCCCCCCACCCAGATCTTTTGTCCTCCCTGCAAAATCCAGGATCCACTTTGCTGTTGGGGCTGCAAAGCTGAGTCCATTCATTGTTGGGGAAGATTCACTCAGTGCAGGGCCGGATTTAGGTTTGATGAGGCCCTAAGCTACTGAAGGTAATGGGGCCCTTTATATAGCAGGCTTACATCATAGGAGGCTACACAACACAAAACACTGTTGCTGTATTTAGGTTTCATTTTATTTGTTTTTTATCTTATATGGTGGTACCTCTGGATGCGAACAGGATCCGTTCCGGAGCCCCATTCGCATCCTGAAACGAACATAAGACGCGTCTGCGCAGGTCGCGTTTCGCCGCTTCTGCGCATGCGCGTGACGTCATTTTGAGCGTCTGCGCCTTTGCGAGAGGCGAAACCCGGAAGTAACGTGTTCCGTTACTTCCGGGTCGCCACAGAGCGCAACCCAAAAATGCTTAACCTGAAGCGTATTCATCCTGAGGTATGACTGTATTTTGGAAATGTACACCCAGCGTTTTTTTTTCTTTAATTTTTTTGAGGGCCCTCAAGAGAGTGGGACCCTAAGCTATAGCTTGTTTAGCTTATACGTAAATCCAGCACTGATTCAGCGGCTCACCCATTGGTACCCCAGTTTACGCAGGTGCTGCCTCGACAAACCCTCCAGATCCAAGCAGGGTGTCCAAGGATGGGTTGGTGTTTCTTACATGCGGGGCATGAGAGCAAAACAACAACAACCAACAATTTATTATTTATACCCCGTCCATCTGGCTGGATTTCCCCAACCACTCTGGGCGGCTAAGAAAGGAGGGAAGCAGGGAGCAAGAGGCTGGTTAGATGGAAGGCCCCAAGAGAGCCCAGCTAGTGAATCCTAGTCGCTGTGGGGCATGGAAGTTGTGGGGAGGAAGGGCCTGCAGAAATGCTGCCCTATGTGGCAAACTATCCCATAAGATCCACTGTCCTGTAACATCACATATGAGCTTTAACTACTGATGAAGCCCAGGATGGCGAAACAAGGCCAATATTCCGGAAATCCTTGTCTTAGACTCTGTGAAAGGATTCTGTGGAACTGTAACAACCTTTAATGTGGATTGCTTGGACCTTATGAACAGACAGGTGGAATAGACACTATTACGCGGATGGACCTTATGCATGAACTGATTAGAGAATGATCTGATCCACTGGGTCTTCTGCTTTGTTCGTTTGTTGAACTTTATGAGTTACTTCTGTTGAAATTTATTATTTGATACATGAATAGTATACCTTATTTATCTAAGAACACAGCCGGTTACGTCTCGTGTGTTTATTGAGTATGCTTTACGTGACCATAGGTTTGTTTGCTGTTGTTTTGCTAGTCTTAAACCAAGCTTTGCATAGAAAAATGGAACTTGGGAAGGGTTGGGTGTGTGCGGAAAGACCCCAACCGAGCACAGCTGGGGAACCCCAGTTTTGCAGGGAGCAAAGATTGTGAAGGGTCCATGGAAGCGAAGGCCAGCCAGTACTGGGAACAGGATGGGACACATCTTAGCAGTGAGAAGAGTGGATCCTCCATGTGTTGAGGAACCACACGGATGCAGAGAAACATCCCCCTGTCTGCAAGTTCAGCATGTAGCAAACTTTTCCTGAGTGACAGCCATTATCTAAACCAGTTTCAAAGAGGCTCAGTCGAGGTGAGCCTTAAGGAAGAACATGGGAGCAATGGGAGAAGTCAAGGCAAGGGGGTTTGTCTGGGGGCTTTGAAGGAAGAAAATGAGTGAAGAAGGGAGTTTGGGATGAAAGGGGGCTGAGCCTACACCAGGCATAGGCAAACTTGGTCCTCCATCATCCCTAGCTAACAGGACCAGTGGTCAGGGATGATGGGAGTTGTAGTCCCAAAACATCTGGAGGGCTGAGTTTGCCTATGTCTGGCCTACCCCAACATCTAACGTCTCTTGAGTCACAAGAAAGGAGATTCCAACTAAACACCAGGAAGAAATTTCTGGCAGTAAGAGCTGTCTGACAGTGGAGTGGACTCCACTGGAAGATGGTGGACTCTCTTTCCTTGGAGGTTTTTAAGGAGATGTTGTATGATCTTTTCTCATGGATGCTTTAGCTGAGATTCCTACATTGCAGGGGGTTGGATTAAATAACCCTTGGGATCCCTTCCAACTCTACAATTTGATGATTCGATGTCACTGAGGGAAACAGGTATGTCACTGTGCCTGTAAGTACCTTAGATTTCTAGAAGATTTGTGTCCACAGGCCACAGTCATAGTGCAGATTAAGGGATATGCTTGTTAACCATCATTTCAATGCTGCTAGGATGGCTAAAAATGGTAAAAGAAGCAGCTACTACATTCCCCCCCCCCCCCCGCCCCATGAGTTTTTAAAGACAGAGCTGTTATTTTAATCTGAATTACTATGATTGTCCTCAGAGTCAATAAAGACAGGGATTAACATAGCAAGTATAACCATACAATGAAAGAAAGAAAAAGCTTTATTATTCTTTCACTACCTTGATTCTTTGAACAAGAGGTGCATACTAGAAACTAATCAAGAGGCATTCATAGGTAAAGTTGTGTATTCATATGGTAATTGCTGTTAAGACTTGATCATTAGAATTTACAAAACATAACTTCACAGGATGAGTCCTGAAAGTTGTCTTTGATCACCTTAGGCAATTATTCAAGGAAGGAAGCTAATCCAGGTGCAGACTAGCTTTCCATAGGCTTTATGGCGAGCTGCCTGCTATGATTTCCACCTGCCCTAACATTGTGAAAAGAGCTTGACTATTTAACTGTGGCAGTTTTGGTCAACTCATTATTATATCACTACGGCAAACTCCTTCTCCCACTCTCTCTGCCTCCTGCACAACTTCCCATGCGGGTTCTTCCAATCATGCCAGCCGATTCCTTCCCAACACAAATGTTCCAGAGGTACCGTGATGTGCTACATCATGCCAGATTTCATGAGATGCTGTTATGGGTGTGTACCTGGACTCACCTGTGTGTAGCCAGCTGAGAGATTTAGGATCTTTTGTTGGAGTTATGACGTGCGCTTGCTAGGGATGTGCGTAGGGTTGCCATACGTCCGGAATTTTCCGGACCTATCTGTAATACTGCAGCCTCAAGCAGTGTCTGGGCGGAATTCAGTGGAATGTCCGGAAGTGCCGTTTTTGCCAATTTCCCTCAGAAATAGCTCAAAAACCATCCAATTTCTTTCTGATTCTGCAAAAAAAAAAGTTCAATAACTTTGGCCAAAAAAATGCTCAACTCTTCTGTCCAGATTTTCACTTTTTGAAATATGACAACCCTAGATGTGTGTTAGGGACGTGGGTGGCACTGTGGGTTAAACCACAGAGCCTAGGATTTGCCGATCAGAAGGTCGGCGGTTCGAATCCCCGCGACGGGGTGAGCTCCAGTTAGTCGGTCCCTGCTCCTGCCAACCTAGCAGTTCGAAAGCACGTCAAAGTGCAAGTAGATAAATAGGTACCTCTCTGGCAGGAAGGTAAATGGCATTTCTGTGCGCTGCTCTGGTTTGCCAGAAGCAGCTTAGTCGTGCTGGGCACTTGAGCTGTACGCCGGCTCCCTTGGCCAATAAAGCAAGATGAGCGCCGCAACCCCGGAGTCATCCGCAACTGGACCTAACAGTCAGGGGTACCTTAACCTTTACATTTACCTTAGATGTGTATTAACTTCTAACTCAGTCCCTGAGTTAACCCTAACCCTGACCCTAACTCAGTTAAAAACGTTAGCTCAGTTGGTTGGAGCTTGGTGCTGAGAACACCAAGGTTGCAGGTTCGATTCCCATATGGGGTAGCTGCAAATTCCTGCCTCACAAGGGGTTACCTAGATGTTCCTCAGGGTTCCTTCCAACTCTTAAATTCTATGGTTTTAACTCGCTTAACTCTTTAACCCACAAGAATTTCTCACACAAAGAAATGAAGAAAGCTTGGTTTATTATATAAAACAGGAGTGACAGAATATATATCATCATCATCATTTTAATTTTTTTGTATGCCGCCTTTCCATAGTTAAAACAATGCTGAAGGCGGCTTACAACATGACAAGATTTACATCATTACCAACATAACAAAAACCATAAACAATAAATAAAACGCATCAAAAAGTACACAACCAAATGGAAAACAATTTCCACATAAAATGTTGCTTTAGACAACAATGTCACAGGCTAATCAGGTAGCCAATACACACCTTAATTAAAGAGTAAAACATTCCCTAACTATTCTAAGAGGCCTACCTGGGCATGACAATTTTGCCATAAACCCACACTAGAAGGAGAGAGATGGAAGGAAAATATACCTGTCCTTAAAGCAAAGCTGGGTAAGTTGGAAGACACAAGAACTTCCCACGCTGGAGGAATGGCAGATGAAACTGATGGACTATATGGAACTGGCGCAAATGACTGGCAGAATCCGTGACCAGGGAGAAGAGTCGGTGGAGGAAGATTGGAAGAAATTCAAAGACTACTTACAGAAACATTGCAAAATTAAAGAATGTTAGAGTGATGTTGGACTGAAAATAAGCGGTTTCCAGCTGTACAGGTTAAGGTTAATGATAGATCAAGACTAAAGATTAGGATTAAAGATGTTTAATGAAATGGAAATTTGACAATTAAGAGGTAAAATTTTAATGTTATATTACATTAAGACTAAAGATTAGGTTTAAAGAAGTTGAAGTTATATATTTCAATATTATATTAAATTAAAGACTGGGATTAAAAAGTGGAAAAGAAATTGCTGGACAAACAATTTGGATTGGAATACAAAAGAGGGAGGTATGAGGAAGTCCAGAAAATAAGCAAATTTAAAGACGGAAATGGAAAAGAGATATTGCTTTTTTTAATTGTTATTTTTTTTATTGTTGATTTTTGTCTTTTGTGTTTTTTTATTTTCTCTTTGAGATTTGTATGGTGTATTTCTGTGTTTTTCTTTGATGTTTTTCTTTTCTTTTTTTGGTTGTTTAATTTTTGATTGAAACTTTAATAAAAATTATTATAAAAAAAAATAAAAATAAAGCAAAGCTGGATAAGTTCTCTCCTGTTGGAAATATTCGAGCTAACTAACCTTTGAATCTAATAGTTGTTGTTGTTTTTAAAAAAAATACTTTTCTTCCAAGGCATGTCAGTGGAGAGGGGGCAGTAAATGAGTGATTCTTCAGTTTCCATAGTTCCTTCTGGAATTTCCTGCCAATGCCGGATTAAACCCTGTGGAGGCCCCCAGGCAGTCGAAATCTTGGAGGGGGGGGGCGCATTGCAAATTATCTCCTAATACATTTTTGTAATTTTCTTTCAAGATCAAATAAATATTATTTTGACCCGTTCTCGCGGGGAGCCATGGGCCAGTGCCTACTTTGCCTGTTCGGTAATCCAGCACTGTTTCCTGACTAATCCTTTCCTTGCCCACCTTAGTGAAAAAAGGGTAAAGATGGACATCTTGTTTGCTTAACAAAAGGGTGACTTTTTATTTTTTAAAAAATAACTTTTTATTAAAGATTTTCTTGGTTTACAAAAGTACATGCCTTGTCTCTTTTTTCAAGTTGCACAGTCTTTTCTACAAGTTGCACAGTTACATTTGTTATGAGATATTAGTGTTGTGTACAGTATAAGGTTGGGGAAGAAGAGGGGGTGGTGAAATATATATAGTTTTAAAATAAATACATTTATGTCAGGAAAGCAAACAAACCAGCAAACAAACATACAATCAAACAAACAAACAAACAAACAAACAAACAAACTATAAATTGACAAACAGACAGTAGCAATATATGCAACAACACAATTCTTATAACATATTTTGTACTCCCAATGATGTGAACGATTGTAAAGCTTGTAAAACAAGAAATTAAAAATGACTTCCAATTAGTCTCGCTGTACTTTATCTGTTGATTATCTTATACCGCACAGTTACATATTTCTTATATAGTTTCTGTTAACTTCCCTACAAACTTATATTTATACAATGCAAGGTTCAGTCTAATTCTGCCAAGAAGTTTCCTTTTATACTGTAATTTTTTAAGTATTCTTTAAAAATTCTCCAATCCTTATAGACTATTTGTTTTGTTTGGCCTCTTATCCTTCCTGTCGTCTTTGCTAGCTGCAGGTATTCTGTCATTAGGATCTGCCAATCCGCCGTGTTAGGTAATTTCCAATTTCTTGCTACTAAGATTACATTGTTTAACGTTGTACATGTGGGATTTTGTGTCAGCATCAACTAGATTGGTTCTCTTTCTATTCGCTTGTTATATTTCCTCGGTAGCGAGAGAGGTTGGAGGCACAGGGTGTGGTTGGTTGTCCATGGTTGACTGCAATGGGGTTTCCCATACAATTTGGTTCCTGCTGGCCCATGTTCACTCCTGTCAGGTCTCTCCAGTGTCTGGCTATGAGGCTTCTGGCTGCTGAGAATAGGTGGGTTATAAGCCTTCTATATTGTGAGTGGTCATTATGATCTTGGAAGATGTTCAAGAAGGCCAGTTCTGGGGTGACTTCTAATACCTGTTTAGTTATTTTGCATATCTCTTGCAGGACTGCTATCCAGTGTAATAAGAATTTTAAGGTTTCAGATATATAGTGGTACCTCGGGTTACATACGCTTCAGGTTACATACACTTCAGGTTACATACACTTCAGGTTACAGACTCCGCTAACCCAGAAATGGTACCTCGGGTTAAGAACTTTGCTTCAGGGTGAGAACAGAAATTGTGCTCTGGCGGTGTGGCAGCAGTGGGAGGCCCCATTAGCTAAAGTGGTGCTTCAGGTTAAGAACAGTTTTAGGTCAAGAACGGACCTCCGGAACGAATTAAGTACTTAACCCGAGGTACCACTGTATAATAAATGTTCATAAATGTACCAAGCAAACACGTACATAAATATATAAACCACATGTCTGAAGCAGCACAGGAAGACAGTCCTGAAACCATTTTGACTCCCAAGCTGACCAAATGTTTCTCTGCAGGGAAGGAGGAGGTGAAAAAACCTTCCTTGTTACAGGAATTTAGTAAATTACCATCTCAAAGGTGGGGGTGACAGACTACTAGGAAAGGCAATCAGATAAGGCATTATCAGATAACCTGGCAGGCAGGAAAAACAACAACATTCAAATTTCTATTGTAGACTACCTTTTCTGTGATATAGGTATGATGTTTGTGGCGGGTGGTCTTGGGTTACACCTCTTCTGTGATGTATGTATGATGTATGGAGGGGTGGTCTTGAGCTCCAGGGCAGGGAATTTAAAATGTCTATATAAGGGCAGGCACACCTGGGTTTGGGGTCCTCCTCCTTTCCTGCGTGTGAGGGGAGCACCCTGTTGCAACAGATCAATAAAGATCAGGCTTACTAGCTGCTTTGCTTCTCAACATTCTCTGGTTGGCCTCTGTTATTTTCTCCTACTAATAGGGAATCCACATAAGGACTCTATACGGGCTCTTGGATACCCCATAAAGGGAAAAGGGCAGATTTTGTTTACAACACCAGAAGGTTGGATTTTGGGACATTCCCACCACATGTGGAGGTATGTGCCTGTGGAAGTGCAACCTCTCCAACATTTTGGTGAGCTTCCTGGGCATATCAGCACCAGTTTCTGTGGTGTTAAGTACCACCTGTAGGTGAGTTTCAGAGTGAGTTCCCTTCTTTTGGCAAAGATGGATTTAAAGAGAGGTTTAGACCACATTCTACTCACTTGGGTGGGGTTAATTTCATAGCTTATGTCCTGCTCCCATTGTTCTTTGATTGCATCAAAGGGGTTTGTGGGATTTTGGACCAATTAAATGCCCAATAATAATAATAATAATAATAATTTATCATTTATACCCCACGCATCTGGCTGGGTTTCCCCAGCCACTCTGGGTGGCTTCCAACAAAAGATTAAAAATACATTAAAACAATCCAGCAGTAAAATCAGCAGCCACTAGGCCCTTGACCACATTTGAAAACCTTCCCCTGACAGCAGGAGGACATGGCAAAGGGATGGTATCCACAAAATACAAAGTGGCGAGAGACTTTTGATAGTAAGTCTTATCTGCACCTGGCCATTTCAGGTCTGTGATCTGCTTTCAAATCACCATATTACTGTGGGGATGAATCTCATTGAGGAGTTGAATATCCTTGATGACTACTTTTGCATGTGTTAACCTTTAAGTAAGATGTATGTGAATTCAGGATATTCCTGAATGCTTTTCAGCTGGAGGCTAGAATCAGGCTGGTTTCATGGTTACTGGAGTTCATCACAGAGGGCCTTGTGTAACATTATGTCAATCCCATACTTATGCCATAACCTATAGAGATAAACCATGTCATAATAAAATTATTATTATCATTACTATTAGTTCAGATCCACACACAATGCAACAGCCTGACCAAGGAAGTTATCATTCAGAAGGAGTTTACTGATGGCGTCAAGTCATTATTATGTCATCATTACAGAAGCATATTTTATAAAATAATAATGAATTGATTATCAAAATATTGTAAACACAATCAAAATGAAATATTACAATCCAGTATTCACTAATTTACAATTTATTTCTAAATCACCCTATTTAAAAGTCTGGTCTTTAATGCAGTATAGTACAAAGATACTGTATAATATTTTCTAAACATTTATAAATTTCTATAAATTAACAAAACTAATTATGACAGCAATAATTCCAAGCCTGTTCTTGGGCTCTATGCTTAATAGTATGCTTAATAATTAATTCTCAAAATGCTCCTTTTTTTACCTTTTCTTAAGCGTACTGTTCCTGTTAATTTTGTAATTGTGGCAAGATACCAAATTTTCTTAAGTCATCCTCATTCGGTTTGAATCAGCAGAGCATGCCATTTAGCTGCTGTTAATATTTTGGCAGTCGTCTGCAAAACCCTGACTAGATTTCCGTGTTCTGGTCTTGCATCTTTTTTAGATATCCCAGAAGAATTGTTAGTTCATCTGCATGTGATTTCCAGTAATTTCTTGTATATGCTCAATAACATCCCAAAAGCTTTTATTTTTCTCGCACATCCAGAAAATACAAGGATAATCTATAATTTTCTCTCACACACTTCCAACACGTTCCACTAACCTTTTCATGCATCTTTGCTGCATCTCATAGATGTTATCTTTTATATTCACACATGATATAGGATTTTGAAAGCCCCAGGACCTCTGCCTCAGGCATCATCTGAACCCAGTCTGGGGCCTGATCCTGAAGAGTCCCAGTCTGCACAGGTTCCCCTGCAACAAGCACCAGCTGGGCCAAGTCAGGGGCCTGAGCCTACCCTGGTTCCAGATGCGGGGATTACATTATTGCCTTCAGCTGGGACATCACTTACAGCTGCTCCACTACCAGTTGGGTCAGGGGAGGCTGAGGCGGCCCCTGAGTCTAGTAACCCACCGACATCTCCTGAGCTGCAGAGACTCAGGTCTGAGAGGAGGAGAGACCTGAGTACTCGCAGGAGGAGTGCTCGCCTTCGGGCGAAACAGGGAGGTGAGTTGTTGGGGGATCAGGACCAGTCGCTACCCCGACAAAGATAAAAGGCTGTCGGACCCCACCCCAGGTTGCGGGAGCAACATTGCTGTATACTAGATCCTGCCGGAGATCCTGTACCTGTCCTTGCCTGGTTTCCTGCCTCGTATCCTGCTTTGGCCCTGTCAGACTGACTCCCAGCAGAACCTTCAGATTCTGGACTGGTCCTGGACCGCGTTTCACAGGTTACCCCCGGGCCCAGCACATATACAGTGGTACCTCTGGTTACGTAGGTAATTCGTTCTGGAGGTCCGTTCTTAACCTGAAACTCTTCTTAATCTGAAGCACCACTTTAGCTAATGGAGCCTCCTGCTGCTGCTGAGCCGCTGGAGCACGATTTCTGTTCTCATCCTGAAGCAAAGTTCTTAACCTGAAGCACTATTTCTGGGTTAGCGGAGTCTGTAACCTGAAGCGTATGTAACCTGAAGCGTATGTAACCTGAGGTACCAGTGTAGTCCCAAATATTAGATAACAGCATAAGAACAGCTTAAAATGAAATACAACACTGTTATTAATAAAAGCAGTGACAGAAATTAAAATGCTCAGCGCCCCTCACCCCTCCTCAAAAACCTGGACAAAAAGGAGCATCTTTGCCTGCCGACAATGTCACATTTACTGTAGATGCACTGCATAGGCAGCAACCCCCAGCCTCTCCCACCCTATGGTCCAATGGGATACTTCCCCCTCTGCTTCCCAGAAAGAACATCATGGCAGGGGAAGACCAGACTGGCTCCATCCAAAAGGAGCAGTGTGGCAGGGAAGTTGTTCTCCCTATGCTTTCCAGGATACTCTGTTCATCATCATCATCATCATCATCATCATTTTATTATTTATACTCCACCCATCTGGCTGGGTTTCCCCAGCCACTCTGGGTAGCTTACAGCATATATAAAAACATAGTAAAACATCAGACGTTAAAAACTTCCCAGTACAGTGGTACCTCGGGTTACAGATGCTTCAGGTTACAGACCTCCACAACAAATTGAGATCCATTCTTAACCTGAAACTGTTCTTAACCTCAGGTACCACTTTAGCTAATGGGGCCTCCTGTTGCCACCATGCCGCCACCGCGCAATTTCTGTTCTCATCCTGAAGCAAAGTTCTTAACCCAAAGTACTATTTCTGGGTTAGCGAAGTCTGTAACCTGAAGCGTCTGTAACCTGAGGTACCACTGTACAGGGCTGCCTTCAGATGTCTTCTAACAGTTTGAGTTTGGATTTGATATCCCGCTTTATCACTACCCTAAGGAGTCTCAAAGCGGCTAACAATCTCCTTTTCCCTTCCTCCCCCACAACAAACACTCTGTGAGGTGAGTGAGGCTGAGAGACCTCAGAGAGAAGTGTGACTAGCTCAAGATCACCCAGCAGTTGCATGTGGAAGAGTGGGGAATCGAACCCGGTTCACCAGATTACGAGTCCACTACTCTTAACCACTACACCACACTGGCTCTTTGTTGCATAGGTCTTTATCTCCTTGACATCTGAAGGGAGGGGAGGGACAATTGGGAAGCAGGACAGAAGGGAAGCTTGCTTGGGCCCATCCAGAGGTGGAGTTCTCCAGGGTGGAAGACCTGTTACTCTTTCTGCAGCAGGATTCCCGTCTCCAAGGTCCTTGAGCCGCCCTATCAGCATGTCAAACATGGATCTTCTTTGCCACTGAGAAGTCTTCTCACCCTTTGGGTTGACTGGAGATGAGTCAGCCACAGAGAACTGGCTGCTAGAGTCACTCTGGAGAAAGATGTAAAGGGACCCCTGACCATTAGGTCAAGTTGCGGACAACTCTGGGATTGTGGCGCTCATCTCACTTTACTGGCCGAGGGAGCCGGCGTACAGCTTCCAGGTCATGTGGCCAGCATGACTAAGCTGCTTCTGGCGAACCAGAGCAGCACACAGATATGCCGTTTACCTTCCCGCCGGAGCGGTAACTATTTATCTACTTGTACTTTGACATGCTTTCGAACTGCTAGGTTGGCAGGAGCAGGGACCGAGCAACGGGAGCTCACCCCGTTGCGGGGATTCGAACCACTGACCTTCCGATCGGCAAGTCCTAGGCTCTGTGGTTTAATCCACAGCGCCACCCGTGTCCCTGGAGAATGATGTACTATGCTCCAAAGCTAAGCATTTAGGGACACTGAAAACACAAGCTGCTTTGGTTTCAAGGGAATTACGTGCAAGTGGAACTTCAAGGAACACCCAACTTAAGTCACTCTTAAAGAAGTTTGAGCACTCCAACTCCTTTGCCCATGCACACGTACAGAAAATAGCTCTGCAACACGAGATCTGCCTTGATGGCTGCAATACATCCTCAATTATTATTATTGTATAATTGTTCAGATTCTTATATAGATGGCATGGCTGCGGCTATCATGAACGGACGATGTTGCAGCACTTCTGGCCGGATATGGTTTTATTATCTATTGAATTTATATACCGCCCTATACCCGGAGGTCTCAGAGTGGTTCACAGAAAAGATCAATGTAAAAAACCCACAATTTATATATAATCAAAATAAAAACAACAACCCATTATTGAGACCCATTGCCAAATGGTTCCGTTGAAAGGCCAGGTGCGAATGTTCAAATGAAATCCATGCTTCAGCAGGCATGGAGAAATACGTGTTTGATGGATGTAATAATGGAATACTGAATGGTTTTGTTTATATAAAATATGCAGGGATTTATGCTATGCAAAATGAACCATGGAAGGGAAGAAGGGAAGTTTTTGTTATTTTACAGTTGTTTAAATTCTGTTGTAAAACAGAAAATGTAATAAAAATTATAAAAAAGTAAAGTAACCGAAAAAGAAGAGAGAAATATATGTGCCAGCTTTGCAAGTTAACTTTCACATGTCAGAAGGCACCTTTTATCGTATGTGGTGGATATGTAAAGTAGTAAAAGAATTTTGGGAAATGATTTATAATGAGTTGAAAAAAAGTTTAAAATAACTTTTTCTAAAAACACCAAAGCTTTTATTTTAGAAATCCTAGGTGTGAAAATCTCAAGTGAGCAGAAAAGACGATTTATGTAGCGACCATGGCTGTGCGGATAGTATTAGCCCAGAGATGGAAAGAAGATAAAGTCCCTACCAGAGAAGAATGGCTGATTAAATCGATGGATTATGCCAAATTGGCAAAAATGACCGGAAGAATAAGAAATCAGGAAGACCAAAATTTTAATAAGGAATAGGGAAAATTTATAATTAAAGACCATTGTAAACGGCTAAAAACTTTAGCAGGACTGGAATAACACTTGTAGTTTAATGGTGAATTTTGGACATCATGGAGATGTAAAAGATTTGTTTCATCATAAAAGATGCAGGAGGAAATGATTAACAATAGGAACCACAAAGGGGAGGAGGGAAGTCCAGGAGATTCTTTGGAATCTTGTTTTTATGTTGAATATGTGATTGTAAAACTTCGACCTGAAAACCAAATAAACAAATAATAATAATAAACTTTCACATGTCAAAAGCGTGTAAATTTGTTTCTGCAGGTAAGATACGCTTCAGGGGGCTGCATGCAGAAAACAGCAGAGTTTCTTCACCCCACAAAAACTGAGAGCGTATTGTTGCTTAAAAAAAACAAAACAGGAACATTTTGGAGGAGCAGCAGCAGCAGAACAGAGAAAGCGAAGCCCCTGCTCCCCTGCTCAATCCACGGGCAAGTGAGCCGGCGCATGCGCACTCCGGCTTCCCGAAGGTGGGGAGGGAGGGAGGGAGGCGAGCGCGCTCTCGCGCCGGGCCAGACAGACGGCCGAGGCCCCGGCTTTCCTGTCGCAGTTCAGCGTCGGCAGTGCGCCTGCGCGGCCGCCGCAGCAGGCCGGCGGGAGGCGGGGCCGCGCGTTTCGGAGCGGCTCACTATTTGGCAGGAAGGCGCGGAGGCCTCTCTCCTGGCAGCGGCGGCCGCGCAAGGCTGAGGGGGAGGCTCCCAATGTGGCAAGGGAGAGGAGGAGGAGGAGGAGGAGGGCTGAGCAGCGGCGGCGGCGGCGGCGGAGGAGGAGGAGGGGGCCGAGCGAGACAAGGGGAGCCGCCGCAGCAGCAACCGCCGCCGCCGAGGAGCTGAGCGGCCTGGCCGGGCGAGCGGGGGGTTGGCGGAGCCTCTGCAGCACTGGCACCCCCGCCGACGCCGCACCCCCGCCGGGCACCGCGCGCCCGCCCGGGTGCAGGCGGAGGCGGCGGCGACGAGGGCGGACGAGGAGGCTCGGGCAGCGGCAGCAGGTGAGGTAACGGCGGTGAGGGGAGCGGGGGGGGGGGAGGGGAAAGGGAGCGGGAAAAGGAGCCGCCGCCGCGCCGCGCCGCCCTTGGCCCGGCCGGGCAGTACCGGCCACCGCCGCTGGGAGTCGCTGTGGGGGAGCCGCTCCCTTGGCCTGGCCCCTCCCGCCCCGCGTCCCTCGGGGCTGGCGTTATTTATTATTCATCCGAGGAGGGCGCGCGATCCTCCTCCTCCTCCCCCCCCTCCCCAGCTAGCTCGAGCCAGGCTTCCCCCCCCCTTCTTCTCTTCTCCCTCTCTTCCCCCCCCCCCGGAAGCTGTTGCTAGGAAGAAACGGGGGGGGGGGCAGCCCGGTTTTCTCCTCCTGTGGGGTGGAAGGAGCGAGAGGGGGACGCTCGTGGTCTTCAAACCCCCCCCCCCCAAATCTTCCTTATACACACATTGCTTCCCTCCCCTCTGTTTTGTGTGTGTGGGGGGGAAGCCTGGGGCCTTTTGTCATCCTGCAAAAATAAAATAAAATCCCATTATCGGAAACAGAGAGCCACGAGGGAGTGAGGGGCGGGGGTAGGTGAGGGGGAAGAGTGTGTGTTTGTGTGTGTGTGTGTTGGTGAATGGGGGGGGGTGATGTTGGATCTGTTGTTGCTAGTGGTGCCCATGAGAATGTGGCAAGCCTCGTCTCTCTCACACACAGGCTCTTGCACACTCACACAGACACACACTCAGTCACACAGTCTCAGACAAACACACTCACACAGGCACACACAATCTCACGCACTCACAGACACTCTCAGTCACACACTCACAGATTCTCTTACACACACACACACCCTCCAGAAACTTCCCACTAGGTAACGAAAATGGCCAAGGAGGGAGGCAAACAAAGCTGCCCCAGTGCTTGCCACAGCAGCTTTGTGTGTGTGTGTGTGTGTGTGTGTGTGTGTGTGTCTTGTCAGGCTTTGCTGGGTTCCTTTGTCTGCTGTTGCTGCCTGTCTCTCCTCCCTTCTCTCCTTTCTTTCTGCTTTTCTCCCCTTCTCCTTCTCCTCGCCCTCTCTCCCTCCTCCCCTCCTTTTTTTTTTCCTTTTCTTTTTCCTCTTGCCTTTCCCTCTCCCTCCCTCCCCTCCTCCCTCCCTCCCTCCCCTCTTCCTTCACAGACTCCAAGAGCTGCTGCAGCTGCAGGTTTGTAAATACTGGACTCACATCCACACACACACACACACACACACACACACAAGCAAAACATGGCTGACGCTCTGCTCCCCCCCCCCTTCTGTAGGGCTCATTTTCTCTCTGCTTCTTGGTCTTTCATCCACTTGTGCTTTGCCTCCCCCTCTTTTATTTCCCCTTCCCCCCAACCCACCCAAAAAGGAAGGAAACTGCAGTGTGTGTGTGTGTGTGAGAGAGAGAGAGGGAGGGAGGGAGAGAGAGAGACTTTGATGGGATATAAAGGGAAGGGTCTTTGCTCTGGAGCTTTCTTTTCTTTTCTTTTTTGTACAGTATGGTAGAGGAAAAGTCCAAAAGATTCTTGCAAGCTTAGGGAGGCCTCGGGGAGGGGGAGGGGGGTGAGTGGTGCGACCTCTGCTGAGAGGCTTGACTGGAATGTGCGTATCTGTCTTCCTAGGCATGGGGGGAAGGGAGGCTGATGCACCAAAAAAAATGTTGGCGGTGGTTAAGGTTATTAAATAGGTGTTACGTTAGCAGGATGCTCAGGGCCATTCCTTTTATTTTGGGATATGCCTCATTACCTGGCATCATACAGTATGTTAGCTCTGAACACAGGGTGGCAATTCTCCCCCCGCCCCCCAGTCTGATTCATCCTTTTTTTAGTGCTTCTGCCGTTCCAGAATCTGAAGTAATTGTTGAGCTGCGAGAGTTAAAACATGCATATGTTGATGGTAGTTCAGTTTTATACAATAACTTTTCTTCATAACGACAAGATAAGTGCGTACAAGGAAGGGCTACACCTCATTTTGTAGGGTTTCAGTGACTACACAGATCTAAGATTCCTCACTACCCCGTGTTGCTCATTGAAAGCATCCAAGACTTTAAAAAACAACAACCCCAAAGATCTTGGCCAGCTACCAGCACCTCCTTCTGGCTTCGACAAAACTTCATAAAACAGTTTTGAACTGCACACACACACACACACACACACACACACACCTTTAGTTGACAAGGCCCTTTGCAGTTTCTTCTCATGTAAAATGACCTTGGGTATAATTACATGCTTTTCTTTAAAGGAGGATTGTGCACAAGAGTTTTCTTCGGTTCTGTGCCTCCTGTGGGTGACTGGTTGCTACAAGAGAGATCCCCCCCCCATTGTGCATTTTTACTTCTGAGGATGTTACTAATGTTTAGAATGTTGGCTTTGTGTTACTATTCCTTTGTCCACACAATAATTTTGTGGCCTTTGCATAATTTATCACCAGCAAAGTTAGTAGTATCTTTCAAAAATACATAATGTAACCAATTGGAACTTAAATGCTTGGTGGTGATTGGTAAAATTGATTTTGAAATTGCAGAGCAGATGGGTAGAATAATGGAATATTTGTCAAGCTTTGGAAATTGGAACTCTTGGATTAGCTGCCACATTACAAAATTATATAAATGCATAGTTGGGAGCCTTTGTTTGAAATATTTATGTTAAGTGGTACGGATATAGATTGTATAACTGAAAATAATTCTAAGTGGCTTACAAGAATGAATACAGTCATAAAGCACAAAGCTAACATATTGCATATTATGTATACATTATCAAATATGTTCAGTATTCCGGAATGAAGAATTGCCCCTGTACTGAAATGAAGCTTTGATTAGTCTCTGCCCACCAATGGGACCAAGGAAAATCGGTTGCAGACCAGATTTTACAATTGGGAACCTTTTGTTCAGTTTTTGTTGGGCTTTGCATGCAGCATTCTTGTTACAGTTGACTTGTTGATCAGCAAATGATGCCCTGCATCCTGTTCTCAGAGCAGTTAATAGGGCAGTCTCCATGGCGGCACACCACTACAGAGTGAAAGTATATAAATATTTAGCCACACTGTATTTGTATTGACTTGTTTTTCTAAACTTTGCTAGGTCTAGATGCAGAGGAAGCAAGAGTCAAAGGGTGTTCATGAGGGGAAGTTTCTGAGAAGACTGTAGAACCTGAAATCTTAGAGAAAAGACTGACCTCAAAGCTTAACACACAGGATTAAAAAAGACATTTAAATGAACATTCTGATGTAGGAACCTTATCAACCTCTACAGACAAAGAATAATGGAAATTCAAAGGGTTCTGGAGTGGGTTGTGAGGTTATGAGCTCAAACACATGAGGGAGCTAAGTTAAGGCCTTTAGGATCATCCTCTTATAGAGACTGCTTTCTACATTGTGGCAGTTTGAGGAATCTGTGTCTTCTAACTTGATTATATGTTGATAGTGATTAATTGTAAGTTGGCTTTCCAGGGGAGGGAGTAGAAGTATGAACAGAAAATAAACAGAGCAAGTTTCGGCAGGAAGGTACTGGTTCTCTGGCCAGCCAGGGTTGTTTAGTTCCATAGGGAAGGGCTTAAGCAGAAAGCTGAACTGTGCTTAATGGCTATTGCTTTGCTGTTTGTAAGGGGTAGGAGTAACAGAGAGGTGGGGCTTCAGGATAGTTATGTATATGCAGTTGGTATGCTGTAGGTGATTAGGCATATAGATGAGGCTTTTTGCAAATTGAAATTCCCTTTGCCAGTCCAAGTCAAACTTTATGTTGAACCAGTGAGACCTTTGGTTAACCTGGTGCTGTTTATTCCATCTGAAACAATTTGAATCTGTACAGTGGTACCTCGGGTTAAGAACTTAATTCGTTCTGGAGGTCCGTTCTTAACCTGAAACTGTTCTTAACCTGAGGTACCACTTTAGCTAATGGGGCCTCCTGCTGCCGCCGCGCCGCCACCACACAATTTCTGTTCTCATCCTGAAGCAAAGTTCTTAACCCGAGGTACTATTTCTGGGTTAGCGGAGTCTGTAACCTGAAGCGTATGTAACCCGAGGTACCACTGTACTTTGGAACAACGCAAGCGACCTCTAAGACTTCCCATTGGAACTCATACAGTGGACATACGTCTCCTTTATGCTACATTCTTCCTTCACTACTGTACCTGAGTGTAACCTGAAATTATCTTGCTGTGCACCCACCCAACCTATTATGCACTGTGCCACAGTATTGAGGCACAGATGTGCAGGGTTCTCAGTTTTTGCTGTAGCCTCAGCATGCTTCAGTTAAGTCATACCTCAGGCAAGCAGTCATTCATTTAGAGCAGGATTCCTCAACTTTTTGCCCTGCAAGTATTTTGAACTACAACTCCCATCAGCGCCAGCACGGCTGGTGGTCAGAGATACTCTTCTTCTTTGGCGATCACTCGTAGCCGAGTAAGATTGTCTTCCATAAACATGGTTTTAACAGTGAGTCCGTAAGTGACTGTGGAGGCCAATTCTGGATCCACACATCCTTCCACAGTGGGGACATTGGTTTCTGGGCGAGAGTTGATCACGGTCAGGGATACTAAGGAGTTGCAGTCCAACAACATCTGAAGTGTGCCATGTTGCGGAAGGCTGATTTAGAGGGATTGGAAATGTTGATAGTTGATAATTCCAATGACTTTGCTGTTTAGATCTGAATAAGGAAGACAGAGGTGGTTGGGTCATGTTCACTTGACAGCTTCCATAGCTGCTAGAACTTTAACTAATGGAAAGGTTTTGTATGTTGTATGTGCCAGGTTTGCACCTCTAGCTGTATTCTAAATCAGAACTAAAAAGTAGTATCAAGTTGGCATATTTCAATCAGACACAAGCTCAAGACCATTCTCAAGTTAATCCTTGTCACTTGGTAGGTTTATTTCACAAAACTTAGCCAAGTAATTTCCCAGGATATTTCTGGTTATCATTAAATAGTAGGAGCAGAACAGTGGCTGGATAGCCCTTCTGCAGAGCAATTCCTCAGACCCGAGGTGGTCATTGTGGCACTTGTTAGGCACAGTAGCACCCTTGGGATCTCACAAGGTGCACTCCCTCGCAATGATGACAAAGAGGTGGGGCTCCTTTTTCTCCCAGAGAACAAATAAGAGAGTAGGAGGGAGAAAGGAGATCTGGGTGGTTAGAGGGATGAAAATATCATTGTTGGGGTGCAGGGAGAAGGATGTGAGGGCGATCTGGCTGCGACATCTGTCACCCCATTGGTCGGCAGGGAAGGAGATGGGGTGCTACAGGAGTCAGGAGAGAATGAAGTACCAGATACAGAGAAGGCTTGCATGTGTTTGCACATGCACACTAGATCCTGTGAAATGAATGCTATTGAAAATGCATGATTTTTTCCACAGCTTCCCTCTCCCCCAAATCAACATCAATTTGCAGATCATTTCTGTCTCCATTGACTGAATAATAAAAATCATTGTTTCAGTGTGCTTTAGCACTGCCCAGGTGCATAATCATGGATCTAAGGCAGGGAACCTTATGTATCATAAGTTTTACAAGGGATCATCTCAAAACTGCTATCAAACCATAACAGGTTAGCTCTGTGTACACTGATGTGTTATGTTATTTGTTTTTTGTCCTGTGAGGCGGATTGCTGCCTTGGATCAATGTTTTTGTTGTGCTGGCGAATTCCAGATTTACATATTTTTTACTGTGCAGTTTCATACTTTCATTTGATAGTAGGTTTGTTTTTTTAAAACTTCATACGCAAAAGAATCTGTTTTAAGTCTTTTGGAACTGACTTTTACCCAGGTTCCATGGAATGTGTGTGCACATGCTTTCTGTCCAGTGAGATTCCAGCCTGGAGAGAGGAACAACCCAAGTTAGTAGTACCCATGGCACTCACTGAAAATTCTGAATGGACCAACAAAGACTGGCTGTTTATCTAATGGGGGAGCCTGTAAGGCTATCTCAGTCTGTCCAGTTAATAAAAAAACAATAATCTGTTCTTTGAAATTTTCCTATGACACCCTTTTCCTTGGTCTCCCAAGTATATCTTCCATCTTCTCTATTCTTATCAACCCATTATCTACATTTTTCTTGCGTTGGTTGTTAAGCATTATACAGTGGTGCCTTGGGTTACAGATGCTTCAGGTTACAGATGCTTCAGGTTACAGACTCCGCTAATGCAGAAATAATACCTCGGGTTAAGAACTGCTTCAGGATGAGAACAGAAATCGTGCGGCGACGGCACAGCTGCAGTGGGAGGCCCCATTAGCTAAAGTGGTACCTCAGGTTAAGAACAGCTTCAGGTTAAGAACGGACCTCCAGAATGAATTATGTTCTTAACCCGAGGTACCACTGTACTTTACCTTTATTTGTGACTTGTCAACTTCTGTAAATTATGACTTGCTGGAAACACCCCCCCCCCCACTTAGTTGTAATTTTTATTGATGTTATTCAAAATATCAGTAAAGTTTGTTAAAGCTGTAACCTGATTCAAGAGGACTAATTTTTGGTACTCTGTGGGCCAATAATGTAGTGAGGAAACGAGCAAATTGAATGTTTGGGATGTCTACTGAGGTGTAAATGATATTTTTATCATAGAAAGCTATTAGAATGAATGTCAGATAGCGTTCGTGCTTTGGAACAAACAGAAAACTCATTTCACTGTTCAATGTATTATGTGAGATTGGTGAGGCATCAAACTGCCTTAATCTTGTGGAAGTGGAGGAGACCAGATAAATCTTTGTATTTGGACCAGTTTAAGTCATATGGGCAAGGGTGGCAGATGAGTCAAGGAGTAACTCATACTGCATTTTTAATAATACACTATCCTGGTGTTGGAAAGCTAGAAAACAGAGGGATATGCTCTAATTTGGAAGGGAAGAAAGAAGACTATAAATGCATGCCTTTGTCTCATTATAGCATGTTTACTAGTAGCTACCCATCTCCTGTTTCTTTCTTACAATTAGTTTCTTCCACTTTTCATTTTGACCATATATGCCTACACACATGTCATCCAGAGAATTTTCCTGAGGAATTGTGTGGGTTAGAAGTGCCTTGGGTCAAATGTATGCTGCTACTCTTCCTTTGAATCCTGTCCATTTTTGGCTTAGGGCTCTTTTACAGGGTTCTTGAGTAGAGAGTATGCAGGGGGAAAGCAGAAATATGAATTAAGCCTCACACCTGGGTTTTTTTGGTTGCTCATTATAACCCATAAAAGGGCCGTTAGATTCTGATATGCTTTTAGGTTCATAATTACAATATTTCGTGCCTTATGCAGAAATCACTTTAGTACAAAACTAAGACATATTTATTTGCTTTATAATTGTTAATAATACTTGTTCATGTTAGACTTGCCAACACGTGATCAGAGTTGCATGGTGAGAAGGCGACTCGAGCCTATAGCTTATGTTCTAAGGATGTGGGATGCGCTGTGGTCTAAACCACCGAGCCTCTTGGGCTTGCCGATCGTCAGGTCGGCAGTTCAAATCCGCGTGACAGGGTGAGCTCCCATTGCTTTGTTCAGCTCCTGCCAACCTACAAGTTTGAAAGCATACCAGCACGAGTAGATAAATAGGTACTGCTGTGGTGGGAAGGTAAATGGCATTTCCATGCGCTCTGGTTTCTGTCACGGTGTACTGTGCACCAGAGGCAGTTTAGTCGTGCTGGCCACATGACCCGAAAAGCTATCTGCGGACAAACGCCAGCTCCCTTGGCCTGAAAGCAGGGTTGAGTGCCGCACCCCACAGTTGAATTTGACTGGACTTAACCACCCAGGGGTCCTTTACCTTTCTAAGTACATTCTCTAGCCTGAGAAATTAGTAATAGGGTTATTATAACATGCTTATAGCCCATTTTGCCATGTTTAATAACACTAAAGACAACTTACAGCATATTCTTTTTGAATTTCAGCATTTATTTTTAAAAAATGGCAAGACAGCAGATAAAAATAATTTAAAAAATCATTCTTCGGGTAACTGGCACTATAGCTTTAGCTTGACAAGCAAAAGTTTGCAAGCAAAAGTATTGGCTAGCAAAGGTTTATGCAACTCAAACCGCTCTAGGTAGGCCATTGCATAGCCTAGGAACTACCACAAAGTGGCTTTTCCTTGTCCCCACTAGACACTTCAACTATTGATGGAATGCAGAGAAAAGCCCCTCTGCTAGATTTTATGAATAAGAAGACTCAGGGCTTTAAAGGCAAAAAACAGGTTGTTGTTGTTTTAATTGTCCCCATAAACAGGCCAGAAGCCAGTGTAGCTGTTGTAATCGCATACTCCCAAGAAATTATTCCAGTCAATACTCAAAGTTGCTGCATTCTAGACCAGCTGAAGTTCCTGGACATTTTAGAAGCAGCTCTATGGAGACGGCATTGCAGTAATTCCCTCTAGGTGGTAATTAAGGCATGTTATCTTGGCCAGATATGATCTCTCTAGGAATGGATGGAGCTGGCACACCGACTGAAACTGTGCAAAAGCATTCTTGGCAACAGCTGCTCCCCAAGAACCCAGGAGGAAAACTGGATCTGGAAATGTGAGCCAGAGTTTTCACAGGGAGTTCTGCCTGTCTGAGTGGCTGATTTCCAATACCATCAATTAACCCTAGTTCAATTTCTCTGCTGTCTGCATAAGATCTCATAAAAAATGGTATTGGGTTATTATTTTTATTTTATACATTGTGATCTTTTCTGTGAACCACCCCGAGACCTCCGGGTATAGGGCGGTATATAAATTGAATAAATAACAACAACTAGTACTACGACTACTCATTCATTTATCCAGGGACTTTCATGTGCACTCCTGAATTTAGAAAACAAACGCAAAACAATTTTGTATGGTACCAAGTCCTCTCTCTTACTTGAATGCATAAAGCCGTGTTTCTCAAACTTGAGTCCCCAACAACTCCCAACAACCACTGGTCCTGCTAGCTAAGGATGATGGGAGTTTTAGTCCAACAATAGCTGGGACCCAAGTTCAAGAAACACTGACATAGAGCCTGTTGTATAGTGGTCATCTAAACCAACCCCACTTAGTAACCTTCTAGTTGTATGTACATCAGTGTTGGACAGTGTTTCATATTGATTAGTAGTATTGACTTTGTCATTTCTTCCCAAGCTCTTCAGAATGTTTCTATTTCATATTAACGGCTTACATTGGAAATTGTGTTGAACTACAGTAAATTGGCAAGCTCAACACTCCTTTGGTCACAGTGAATCCACTAAACCAGTATGAAGGTTGAGGCAACTGCATAATCCCAGTCAATTTTTTCACAGAATTGTAGCACCACTCTATAGTGCAAACTTTTAATTCTTACAGTACTGACTAACTTGAAACTTTAGCACTTTCTTCATTTCTATGAAGGTACAATGCAGAGAGCTTTGGGTCATTTTCTCTAGAGTAGCTGACTTTGCCACGTGGGTTTTTTAATTAGTCTGTACAAAAATAGTGTTGGGACTCTCTTCAGAAATAGCTTGTTACTTTACCTATAGTTATAAAGAAACCTGTGTGTCTCCTGGATGTTGTGAGTGCAAAATCTCAGATTTTTTTTACCCAAACTTGATGATTTGGATACAGGCTAAAGTAAAAATGTTTACTGACAAGAGCATTTGCCATGCCTGATCATGCATAATAAGGTGAGTCAAGTTGACTACTTCTGATAGGTCAGTGAAGTACCCATTACTTAGTGGTAGATTGTGCAAAAACAAATTATTTGGCTTGATGAGCAGGACTTTACATTTCCAGGATGGAATTCGTAAGTGGGGCATTTCTCAGATGGAGAGGGATTTTTTTTTTTATTTCATAAATAATGAAATTATAGCACGTTTGAAAACAATTGCCAATCAAATTATTTAGGCAATAATTATTTAGGCAGTATGCATTTTCAAGTCCCTGTGTGTGTGTGTGCTACTAGAATAGGCAGATCGTAGAGTCAAACAGAATTGCATTGTAAATCCTATGGGAGGAATTGCGCTAACATGAAACTTACAGTAGTGCAAGCAGTTGAGCTTGCCTGATGGAATGTTCTCCCTTCTCTTCCTTGTGTACTGTTCTGGGGGTTCTCCTGACCGTGGGAACAAGTTGTGGGAGCATACAGGGAGGTAACACTGTGGCACTGGTAAAAGTCTTTCCATAGGCTTATACTAGTGGGATTAATTCGTTGAATCTGGTCTTAAGTGTACAGGACGATGATTTTCCCCATTGTATCTTGCATGTATGAATGGTAGACAAATATATCACATAACTTGTCATGAAGTAGTGATCCTGTGAGCAAGTATCACTGGGTGGGGCCCCTCAGGCAGGTGGTAACAATTAGTCCCCAAAGTAGGAGCATTTGATGGGGCTGTCTGGTTGCCAGCATTCCCCAGCCCCTATAAATATTCGTGTTAACCTGCCGGGGAAGAGAGAGAACCTGCCATGTTTTAGACTTGCTGTTTGATGTTCTATAGCTGGTGCCAGAAAATAACCCAATAAAGCCTGGTAACCCGTTCGGTGCCTGCATGTGATTGGTTAGCAGCTTGGAGGGAGGACTCAGGAAAGCAGCTTCCTCCTTGACATTTCTAGTCCAAAACAGCTCTCTTTCTTGAGCTCAAGATACTAAAGTCTACAACTTCTATAATTTGAGATGGAAAATGGTTATTCTGATTCTTGCAGGGCTATCTAAGCTTGTGAAGTACAGTTCTTCTGGTAGTGTTGCCTCAAGGTTTTTTAAAAATAGATCTAGATAGTCCTATCATCAGCTCTACCCTTTATTAGATGTATCCAGGTTTCCCCCTCTATCCTTCCTAGAAGCAGCAAACTTGCTTTAGATTATGAGATCTTCAACAGCCATGGTAGGGTGTGATATCATAACTTGAGTCTATAAATAACTTCCTAGGCTGTACACAGGCTGCTTACATTCCATTGCCCTAAAGGAGATTTAAGTAGCCTGTGTTCAGAATTGGAAAATAATTAGTAACTACACGCTAGACGGAAATGTACCCTACTAAGATCTGGCACCTGGGTCACTTCTGGCACCCTTAGTGAGCAGCATGAGCCATTTTACTCTCACAAAAATGTGTTCCTGCCTTGTTTGTGAAACAAAAGATAAAATCTCATCTTCTCTGTTTGCTAAAGGTGCTAAATGTCCCCGCAGGCTAGACTTTGGTGTGTATAACAAAATTTGTATGCTGTTCACTTGTCTTTATCTCCCGGATATCATAGGATCAGCACCAGTGATAGATACCGGTAGTTGCTGAGTGAACAAGTATATGTTGTTGCTGTGCCAGCACATAGGAAATTGGAAGTAGTAATAGTAATATTTAGGATTACCACTTCAAGATAATGATGATGATCATGATTATAAAACAAAATTTCCAAATGCAGTAAATAAATCAAACAGAAATACTTCATACTAACAGTCATAAAAGAGCACCATCATATATAGTCCATGGTGGGATGCAAGGTTCATATTTATACAGAGTAGACATTTGCCAGATATAATAATATTTTAGTAGGAATGTGCCAACCATGATATGGTTTGGTTATATAAATAACAAACCACTCCCACATTACAAGTCTGAGGGGTCTGCAACCCCCCCCCCCCCGCGGCACATATCATATGGGTCAGTTTTCCAGAGATGGCAGTAAACATGTCTCTTTAAAACCATAAGACCAAAGAGTAGCAAGATGACTCCTTCTATGCTTGACAGATAACTAAACAAGCACTCACCAGCAGATATAAAATTTGTTGTTGACAAATAATATCATCATTAACACCATCAAAAATGGATAAAACACATAACTTAGCATCCAAAGTGACCTGTTTGCCAATAATAATACTAATTTCTGTTGCAGCCCGCTTTCAGAATTTATGTTATATCCCCACTACATAATGCTAGCATTTTCCTCATCTCTTATAACCCTGCCAGCATTAGGGGGAGACCAGATCTTACAGTATCAGCTAGTCGGACTGGGGTTAAAAACCAGTGGTGGACCACCTTCAAAATATCCTCTTGAATGTTAGCTGACATGGACCTAAAGTGGGTGAGTGGACCAGATCTTAAGCCATTGAGAATCTTTCAGTTCACCTGTAGGGTCCATCTCCCACATTGATTTCCAAGTAGCATGCAGAGAGAAATGGGATTGTAACAGTAACTGTATATCTATGAGAGACCCTGCTTTTTGGACCACTTGCTACATCCAGATGTTCATAACATCGTTTTGTGGCTGGACAATGCACCACAGGATCTTTCAAGATGATGTTAATCTTGGGGATGTGAAGCCAGTCTAAGCCTGAATCTTTCAAACTTTCCAAGAGTTATAATTCTGTAAGTGGCACATTTTTTAAATAACAGACTTGCAAGTGGTGAATTCCCACTATATAAAGAATAATAGATATAACAGATTTATATTGGGCCTGAACTTGTGCTATACAGGGAAATGGGATTAAGGTTCAGGGTGTGGAGGCTAATTTCTCAAACCATCTGTTCCACACCTCAATAGTACAGTGTGTTGAAAGGATTGGAAAGAGACTTCCTTGTCAACCTCATCTGGGGCAAAAGCGGAGGTTACAGTTAAGAGCAGGCATCCCCAAACTCTGCCCGCCATATGTTTTGGGACTACAACTCCCATCATCCCTAGCTAACAGGACCAGTGGTCAGGGGTGATGGGAATTGTAGTCCCAAACATATGGAAGACCGAGTTTGGGGATGCCTGGTTAAAAGGGAGGAAAGAGGAGTCTCATGCCCCCAGCATGCCCCAGGATGTTACTAAAATCATAGGAATGATCTGCTGAAGTTGGAGGGCATTTTGTTTTGGCACCCACGACCCAGGTTCCAGGAGCCTTTGGGCAAATAGTTTCTAACACTGCATTAGAGGTGTCTAAAATGTACGTTTTACGAAGCAGAAGTGGATAGAGATAGGCCTTTGCCCTCTCATATTACGCTAGAACTTAGGGTTATCCAGTGAAGCTGAAACATGGGAGATTCAGTAGAGGAAAAAAGGAAGTGCTGCTTCACATAGTGCATAGTTAAACTACAGAATTCACTCACGACTTTAAAAAGAAGTTAGATTGATTCCTGGGGGATAAAGCAATCAAATCTTGATGGTTATATACTCCTTGCAGGATCAGAGGCATGTGTCTTTGAATATCAGTTGCTGAGGAACAACAGCTGGAGAGGGCTAATCCCTTCATGTCTTGCTTGTAGGCTTCCCATAGGCATCTGGTCCTGGGGGTGGTGGAATGGAATGCAGGACTAGATGAGCTTTTGGTCTGATCCAGCAGAGCTCTTTTTATGTTCTTACTATCCATGGCAATTGTCAATCCATGGAGTTTTTCCATCCTAGGAGAGGTTCTATTTCTACCTCCCTCTGATATTTTAAAAGATTAAAAGAGTCCAGATCTTGACTGTTCTTCCTTCCATGACGCTTAAGGTCTGATTCAGAAGGTCTGGGGTGGAGTGTAGACTTGCCTAGGTGGACTTTCAGCTACAGCTTGGAGTCGGTTATATGTATTTGTAATGGTATGGAAAAAAGCTGGTTTGCATGAAGCTCTTGCACAGGCCATCAACATTCTCATACACAGGTCTTTGTGTTGGGGTCGGCTGAAGACATTTTGGCACCTGGGGCGAACCACACAATGGCGCTCCCCCCAACACCTACACCAGGGAAGAAGGAGTGAGTGAAGATCCACATCAGGAACAAGATGGGGGGTGTCAAATCAACCCCATCAGATGGCTGAAGTGGGAACCAAAGCCACCTCACATTGCCCCACGGGCAGGCCAGCCCTGTATGGAATGGTTATGGCTGGAAAGTCATACAAGTAGATACAGCTGCAGTCACCAAAAAGAGCTTCACAGATTTGCTCACCGTGAAATGTATTTGGCCTACTTTCACTGTGGCCCAAGAAACGGCTGTGCCACTGTGGTTAACTGGAAGATGTGCATGAGAAACCACGAAGCAAAAGCTGCTCCTTTTTTGTAATTGTGAAGAAAATGTTTCCTTCAATTAACTTGAAAGCTGGCCTTTGGATATGGGCTACTTCTTAGCAGTTGGATATGATGTCATTGGGTTAAGGTGCTTGTGTTATCTAGGTTTATTGTGCTTTAAGATCAGGGAGGCGGTGTGCTAATTGGGAAGTAAGTAGCTTCAGCTGTGGGGAAGTGCAGAGCCAAAGTACCAGAAAGTTCTAACTTCAAAACCTCCTACAGGTAATTGGTTCTGGGGAGTCACCCTACTTACTATCCTTTTTACGATAAAGCTAAGCTTACTCCTGATCTGTTTTTATTACGTCGTCTCTCTCTGTCTAATAGGCTATAACTGGTAATGTCAATGCCCTGCAGTTTGTATAGGGTTGGGAGACATTAGCATTGTTATTTTATTTGGGTTTATAATTTCTAACCACTTTGTGAATTTGATTTTCTAACGGTAGTTCTTATGTTGGGTCCCATTTTGTGCTGCTATCTTTAGTTTTGCTGTTTATCTTGTTAAAAAATATTATTTATTATTTAGTAGGTGTCGCTCTACTTGGTCTAAATCCACTTCCTAACTTGCTTGCTCACTTGTGACTAAATAAGTTTGCGACCCTGAGACTCGGGCAGCAGAAAGCCTTAGTTTTGGCTCTTGTTTCTCTGGAATCCTACTGGTGTCTAGTAATGTCTGAGAGCCTCCTGACACAGGCTGGACAGAAGGAGTGGTAGCAGTGTAAGTTGCAGGGTTGATGTTGCAGGACCAAGTGGCTGAATCACCAAGATCTGAATTCTGGGTTTGGGGAACTGGACTTGACTGTAATCAGCTGCGTAACTTGAGAAGAGTATTTCTTAATAAAAGGAAAGTATATGGGGTTTTCTTTTGGTGAGGGGGAGGTGATTTGAAATTAATGATCCACAAGATTTTGGGGAGGGTTTTTTATTTAAAAAATAACTGTTTATGGTGCTGAATGGGGACCACTAGAAAGGGCCACAGTGAATTCAAAGTTGCTTGTGCAGAACAGTATCAGGAAGGTCTGACTGCACTTGTGCTTGAACATAGAACAGCGACATGAGAAATACAGGTAAACTGTGGCTTAAAAGAGGTACTAGGGGCTCTCGTGCAGCTCAGTGTTATCTCTTGAACAAGTTAAGAAAGTGAATAGAATGGAGCACACATGTGAAAATGGTGAACTTTTAGGTAACAATCTGCTTCCTCCCAGCCACAACAAAGGTGTAAAGAGCCTTGGAGAGGAATGGTTGGCTCAGATAACGCTTGTCAAAGGTGGTAAGGAAAGCTCACCATGCAGGAAGGTGAAGTGGCTGGAAGGACTAAAATGGTTAAGTTAGGCTATCTGTAGAATCTGCCACAAGAGGGTGTTACAGTGCTTATTTCCTAAAGGTACCAGTTGCATCAAGCATACTTGCAGTGTGTAAAACCTATGATTTATACTAATCCTTTTGAGGAAACTTTAAATCGGTTCCAACTACCAAAATCATGCGCCATCCATTAGCTAATTTCTGTGTTCATAGAATTTTAACACTTACTGCTACTAACTTGAGAGTTCAGCAACATTCGCCAAAAGTGGTATTCAGGTACTAGTCAGAACTTCATATGTTAATATACATATAATACATCAAAGCTGTTAGAAATGAAACAATTGGAACAAACATAATAAGATTAAGTGTATAAGATCAATAGAAAGTTTCTGAACTTTTTTCAAAAATAGAAAGGATATAGGAACTGCTTAAAGACCAGAAGAGGCAATGGGGCTTGGCAGAGTTGTCACAAGGGAATTCAAGTATGAGACACCACTGAAAAGACTATCTTTGGTACCTGTCAATGGACTAGACATTTACAGTAGGGGCTGTAGATAGTGATCTGTCCGGGACAGTGGAGTCATAAAGCCCTCAAACCCTATTTACAAGTACCAGTACCTTCTCTTCCCCTCTCCTCCCCTTGGCCTTCCTGATCAGAACAGAAAAATTGTCAATTGCATGTCTTGCCACATGTTTTGTACTAGATATCGGTGGCAACAGGCCCATGGTTTCCTTAGAGGCCATGAATTCCTGAGCAGTCCCAGGCAGAAAGGCTTCAGTATGGAAGTATTTGAAGATGATCAGCGTTGAAGATCTCAGGACCACCCTAAGACCATCTCAGCCTGATCATGCAGAGAGACTGTTAGGCAGTGGTGTGAATGGCGCATTAACAGAATCCCAATTAGGTCTCGAGAGCCCAGTACCAGATACAGTTTTGAAACTGAGAGACTTCTGTGTTTTTTTTAAAAAATAATCTTTATTGAACATACAACACAAACTTATACAACAATACACCATATTAAAAATTGTACAAACTGCATACACATACTTTATAAAGAAAGGAAAGGAAAAGGGACAAGATAAAAGATAAAGGATGAAAACAAAATAATTCTCATTGTACTATATCTCATTTTGTTATTTTATGCACATCATCTTATTATTATTATTTATGTTCCCGGTTCTTTTCAAAAAATTCTATTATTTATCACCTAAATGTTACAAGAGTCAGTCAAGGTCTGCCAGGAGGTTTTTGCTATCACAATAATTTTTCAAATACTCTTTAAATACAATCCATTCTTTATTCACCTGTGAAACTGAGAGACTTCTGAGTGGGATATTTGGACAGAAGAAATGTATCCTTGTGGACAACAATAGCCACTCCTCACTCATAGATCACCCAGTTGATTTAAGAATTACTCTGTTTTTAAGCGTATTTAACTGAGAGGGGATTTTTTGCCTTGGAGGCACCCAGCCAAATGAGGGAAATGAAAATATTCTGTTGCTGACTTGGATACCAAGAAAGAGGAGAGGTACCTCCTTTTTCTCCAGGTAAGTATGTAAGAGTTGGTAATGTAACTCTTCAGCCCAGACAGAAGTGGGGAAATGAGGCAACAATATGACAGTAATGCTAGAATTGGGACATGGGAGGAAAAGAAGTGGGTGGGAGGTTGTCATGGTAAGGAGAGAAAATGCACGCTAGCAAGAAGCTCTTCACTGGCTAAACTGGGTGCATAGAGTTTCTGGACATAGTTGCTTACATTGCTCATTAGCAGTCCTTAAAATCTTGCTATCTTTTTCTCTTGCAGAGTATTATAATTGAAGGAGCGTCTGTTACACTTGTGGGAAAACATACTTCATATTTGGATTATTATAGTTACTGTTTCAAGACGGAGGAGGACTTCACAACACCACCCAGAACTGGATTTTCACCCTAGTTCAGCAGCTTTGCTGCTCACTTAAATACAGATGAATGAAGACCCCATTTGGAAAGGCACCAGGTCAGCGGTCCAGAGCTGATCCAGGTAAGTAATGTCTTTACACATCCCACAGGTGGATAAGAAATCTTGGTGACTGCAGATCCCTTTTTTTTTTAATCCCACTCCTTTGGCATATCAGACACACCTCTTCTGGAAGTCCATGTGCATAGAAGCCAACCTCCACAGGATTGGCACATTCACATATTTGGTCTGCAGACACCAGGCCATTATGTGCTTGTGCCATCCAGCTTGTGGATGTTGGGCATTCTGATTGGGATGGGGGTCAGTTGATGGAATTGCAATTGCAAGTCCACTTACCACCAGGTATAGGTAATAATATTTCTGCAATACTAGCATACACCTGTTTTCAATGTGTCTGCTGCTCTCCAAACTGAACTACTCTGCTATGGCAAGTCTGATATTTATTATACAGTGCCTCAAATGTGCTTTTCATAGATGAGAGCACGACGGGGCTTGCCCACAGTGGTCTAGGTAAAAATATATAAAAATATACTTGGTTGTATTCAGTGCTGCCTGTTCATGAGCAAAGTGGACTTTGCTCATGCAACAGGACTCCACTTTCCTCTTCTCCCCTCTGTGTGCCCTCAGAATTTCTCCAGAAGGTTGAAGGAGCCTCTGGAGCAGGTTTTTGGGACATGTGCAGTGTCACAGGGGGGAAATTGCGGAAAGCAAAGTCTGTTACTGCTTTCACAACATTCGATTCTGCCCAGTATTCTAAACTCTGTAAAAGCTGCATATTTGCATTAGTAGTGGACAAGGTGTATAAAAATCAATGATTTAAAAAAAGATATTTAAAAAATCTGATTTTTTTAAAATTTAAATTGGATTTTTAAAATATAATGTTTTTGGAGGAAAAATCTTACTAGTAAGATTTTGTATTTAAGTTACACTATTGTCCAAAGGCTATTCATGAGGAAATAAGGATTTGTTTTAAGTTTTTCACGTGTGCTAAAACTCACTCTGGTGTTTTGTTTTTTAAAAAAGTTTAACCACATCAGTTAACAAACATATGCTATAATGTTATTGTTTTAGTTAAATAAATTGTTTAAATTGTTATTAAGGAAATGATTATTTTTCTCCTTCCAATAAAGTACAGCAGAAAAGTTGTCCAACTATAAACGGTTAACTTATTAAACCTCACCATAATTTCATAATTATCTGTCTATGTATTTCTAATAGTATAACCAAATCAGTAATTTTTGATATAACTGTAAAAACTACTCTGAAAATTTATTATTCCAAAAATGAAACCTTCCTCTGGTTGATACCAGCAAGAATGAGTCTTTCTGTAAAAAATGATTTAAATCAAGTCTTACTGACTAGTGATATAAATCGTGATTTAAATCGATTTGATTTAAATCAAATCGACTCTGGTGGTGGAACTTACCAGACGAGCTACTTCATCTATCAAAAAAACTGGTCCAGCATTAATTTAGGCTAACTAGAGTGCTTTGGCAGTTCATCTGCTGTTTTGGTTGTAGCTGACATAAAACATTCCTAAAAACTGAATCAGAGTATTGCTTTATGCAGAATTAAAGTAGTAATTCTAAAATTTACTATATTTGTTAAGTTAAGGCAAATATACAGTATTGCTTCGCCTTTACATACCAAATTTAAGTTGGGGAAGTTGCACACATGGTAAGCATATATACCAAAGGAGTTTTTAGTGATGTGCTGGCATTTAAAGTGGGTGCTTTGGGGTGGGTGGGTTGTGAACTGGGAGGAGTGAATGTATGCTTGCGTATTCTAATTTTCCAGAAACTACCGTATTTTTCGCTCTATAAGACGCACCCGACCATAAGGCGCACCTAGCTTTTAGAGGAGGAAAACAAGAAAAAAAATCTATCCATCTCTGCGCAGCACCTCTCCAGCGAAGCGGGAGGAGGAACGGAGCCCCTTCCATTTCTCCTCCTGCTTCACTGAAGGGGCGCTACGCAGCTCTCCCTCTCTGCGCAGCGGCATTCACTCCATAAGACGCACACACATTTCCCCTTACTTTTTAGGAGGAAAAAAGTGTGTCTTATGGAGCGAAAAATACGGTACTTAATATGAAAATGCTTCTGCTAAAGCTTCTATCAAAGTAGAACTGAAATAGGCCTAGGTATATGTGAGGACGAACGTTGCATTAACTTGGTTCCCTCGGTTTATATTGAGGTATGTCCCAATTATTTGGACCCTTTCAAAACATAGTGAAGAGAAGCCCCTGTGTGCACCATGTGTTGCCAAACAAATTTAATTGCAACAGTGGAAATTCTTCCTACATGAATAAGATTTCCTCATCTGTATGTAATTTAACATCTTGCTATCTTGTGCATTAATTCAGCTGCTAGTCTTCAGTTCTAATAAGTCAACAGGAAAAACAGCTTGCTGATTCTCAAGGTTGGAAATCTGAGTTGATATCCACTCCTACTCCACAACCTAGGGTGAGCGCTGTAGTCTGAAACTTTGCCATCCATAAAGCATAGATAAGTGTCTTGTGTTGAAAAGAATACTGTGAGAATTTAATGTCAAGGCATCTGTTTGCACAGATCATGAGTGTCATCAGCACTTTTCTAGAAGTTCTGGGTCCTTCACAACACTAGCCTCGATGCTGTTGCATGCTTCGTTAATACTGAAAAACTATTACAAGTCAGAGATATACCTAAGGTTTCTACTCCATCTGGAGCACTGAACTAATTAACTTGTTCAGATGAAGATTTGTGATCACCCTCTTTGTAATAGGATCTTCAGTTTTTAACTAAAATAATCTTCCTCTGGGTTTTATCACAAATATGTTTTGATGCCGCTATATCCCTGCAGGGTATTATTTCTACTCTCAAGTAAGAATAACTTTTGGGTAAAGGTCTTAACACAGTTTACCCAGAGTGCAGGTCTGTTACCCTCCCACTCTCACAAAGTCTTCAAGTTTATTTTCTGGGTTTATCTTAATATTATCATTCATCATTTATTTATTAATGCCTTCAGGTGCCCATGATTGGCTTTATCTGCAGTTTTTAGTTTATTGAAGATTAGAGAATGACTTTTTTTTCAAAAATAATAATAATATTCTTACTATCCTTGGGAGCTGTGTGCAGAAAGTTGGGAAGTTGATATAATAAATAATAAAGACTACTTGCATATCAAAACATATGCATATCATCCTTCAGAACTGCAGTAGTTCAGCGTATGAGGATTTCCCTTGCTCGAAAAAACAAAACAAACAAGTGTAGCAGTTACAGTCATACCTCATGTTACGTCCACTTCAGGTGGCGTGTTTTCGTCTTGTATCCCGCGGCAACCCGGAAGTACTGGAATGGATTTCGCTGCTCACGCATGCGCAGACACGCTATAACACGCATTGCGCTGCGCACCTGTGCAGACGCAGCGCTTCGAATTGCGGGCTATTCATGTTGCGGACAGGCCTCTGGAACGGATCCCATCCGTAACACGAGGTACCACACTGTATAGAAAAGAAGCCAAAATTAGAAAATTTTACACTGACAGGCTGTGTGCCAGTTCCCCCAACCCCTAAGGTACTAGGCAGAAAGTCAGTATTCCCTTACTGATTTCACACTGTTGACCTCAGGGCAGGTGTGGGTCCAGCCAATGAAAAAGTTTAATTTTGAAGCTGCCTCTTCGAGGGTGCTAATTTTTAATGCAAATAGAGAGTATGTAGCTATTTGGTTGCAGATATTTCTATTTAGACAGGCACTTCTCACAATGCTACACATTGGATAGATGGAAAGTGTACTGGTCTCGAGAGATGATGGGTGTAATCCATCTCTCTAGGGCACATAAATGGTTTCCTTGAATATGCACATATGTCCGCCTTGAAGCTAATTTTTATAGCTAATCGGCCTGATCTTACAAAGATCAGGGGCTTTTCCTGTGTCTATGATACAAGTAGTGCCTCATCTCCGGACATCTGTGTGTGTAGCCTTTGATAGCCAGGCTTTGGGCAATATGCTTACCAAAACTGGGAAATGGTGGAAAAGCTACTGTACAAGAAAGGCACCTTGTCAAGAGTCTCCTCGTATACTAGTTCTGAGTGTGCTTGAAGTTCCAAAGCATATTGATGGTCTCAATAAATTGAACAGAAGCAAGGCCTGATACACACTTTCTGTGCACACTAATAATTGGGTGACACATGATCTACATCTGGGGGTTTTCAGTTCTTATCTCAGTGGCCAGATGAAACTGTGATAAACAAGGTTTGGCATTTTTCTCGGTATCGTGCAATGTATGAAAGACATGGTGCATTCTAACTGTTTTTAATTTTGATTTTTATGTTGTTGTAACCTGCCCTGGGACCTGCTGATGAAGGATGAGTAATAAATCTGATAAGAATGGTCTGTACCACACTCAGCATCTCTCTTCTGCTTCTGTACCCCAGGCCAGCCTAACTCAGTAATTGAACACCAGGGGTTGTCAAATTGGTCCCTACCACCCACTAATGGGTGTTTCAGGATTCTAGGTGGGCAGTAGGGGGTTCTATGGCACAAGCTGAATCCTTCCATCGAGCACTGGTGGGCAGTAAGGAAATTTGACCATCAAGGAAGATGCATTAGTGGGTGGTAGGTATAAAAAAGTTGACTACTCCTGACCTAAGGTGACTGAGCTTGGTTTTGGTGTCATTAAGCACTTACCTACGATGACATAAAGTGGGCAGAGAAGCAGTTTTGGCTGGAGGGCCATCAGCTGACTTCCCATGGTGTCACGTGAATCCAATCCTAGCTGAAGCACTGCTGCTTAAATTTGGTACTAAATGCAAACTGCGCTTGGATCTACTCAGCAAGTCTCAAGTGGATAAAAAGCCCTGGCAGAGAAGCAGCACAGCTTGCATTTGATGCCAAATATAAGTAGTGCTTGCAAAGGATGCGTTGTGGTTTGCAAGCACAGTGTGCATTCAGGGCTATTTAAATTTGGCACCAAATGCTAGTCGCACTGCTTTCTGCCAGGGTCATATCCAATCAGGAGCTTTTGAGTGGATACAAGTGCAGCTTGCTTGCCTTTAATGCCAAATTTGCACAGCACTGAATGCGAGCTGTGCTCGCAAAGTAACCATTCAGTAGCACACAATAAGGCTCCTGATTCTTCCTTTGCAGCTGTGGCTTTACCTGTCCCATACCTGATGTCACCACATCAGATGAGCAACAGGTTGTTGTCATTAGTTATTGGACTTGTTTATTGACAAACCCCACCCCTCTTCATCCTAAGGTCCCAGATTGGGATGCAAAATTAAAATACAGCATTAAAAATAGTTTAGAACAATTTGCAATCCTAAAAATAAGGTGGGCATTATCAGGGGGAAATGGGCTTCTGGACCAGATTTAAGAGGCGTGGCAGGTCTGATTTGCCCTGGAGGCTTCCCATCTGTGACATGAACAGGGTGGGTGCAATTCATTTCTGTTAGCGTTTTTAATAGATTTGGTCCATGTGCTGTGTTAAAGTGAATGTCAATACAGTAAACAAATGCTGCATGAAATAACAATTAAGCCTGTGAGGTTAAAACCTGTTCCTGGTGACTTAATCACTGTTGACATCTTCCTTGTAGGGCATGCAGGTGTGTCTGCCAGCGTGATGAAGAAGAGAGCTTCCCACAAGTAAGTGGCTTGGTAATTCTTAAAATCCCACGCCTGGCAGCTTTCTGTGAGGACTGTATTTTTGTGTCCACTTTACAAAGGCATTTTGTTACATCAGCTGTGTGGATTTTCTGTTCAAGAAGTTCTAGTGGAGGTCAGTGGGGTTGCAGCACTCAGTAACCATTTCTGTACAAAGTCAAAGGTCTTGAAAGTAACAAATGGAATTTCAGAAACCAAGGACACCTGTAGAACTTTCCTTGGGCTCCAGAACAAAAAATTATCTGATACCAACTGATAACAGTGCATCGGCTTGAGCTTGCAGAGTCCTCACTCAAATGAAATGTTGCCATTCAAATCTAGACTCTGTAAACTGCAGTTTGTTTCACTTGTGAAAATACACACCAGTGAGAGCGAGTGGTCCTGGACCAGATCCAGGTGCTGCTGGAGGAAACCCATTTTCTATATCCATTTCAGTCTGGGTTTTGGCCCAGAAACTGCTTTGGTCACCCTGCATGATGAGTTCTGTCGAGACAGAGACAGAGGGCCCTGTTAATTCTAATTTACAGCTTCTGTTGTCTATGCTCTGGTAACCTCTAGGTTAGTTTACTGCAAAGTATTATACGTGGGGCTGTCTCTGACGATGGTTCGGAAACCTCAGTTGGTGCAGAATTTGTCAATCAGGATGCTTACCAGGGCAAGACAGGTTAAGCCAGTGGTTCTCAACCTTGGGTCCCCAGATGGGTCCCTAGCTCACAGGACCAGTAGTCAGGGATGATGGGAGTTGTAGGCCAAAACATCTGGGGACCCAAGGTTGAGAAAGGCTGGTTTAAGCGTGTAACACCAATCCTGACCCAAATGCACTGGTTGCAGATTAGTTTCTGGGCCCAATTCAAAGTGCTGGTTTTGACCTCTAAAGTCGTAAGCGGCTCAGGACCGCAGTATTTCAAGGACCACCTCTCCTCATATGGACTGACATGGACCCTGCAATCATTAGCTGAGGTCCTTCTTCATGTGCCCTTCCACGAGAGATGTGCTGGGCAGCAACATGATGATGGGCCTTCGGTGGCTCCCCGTTTGTGTAATGCTTTCCACAGGGAGGTTCACCTGATGCCTTCAATGCAGATCTTTAGGCGCCAGGTGAAAAATGTTACTCTTCTCCATAGCCTTTTAAACCGGGGTTGGTGGCGGTACTGTTTTTGTCTGTTACTATGTTAATGTATTTTTGTGTTTTCGTATTGTAAACTTCCCTGTGATCCTTGAATGAAGGGCGGCGTGGAAATTAAATAAATAAAAAATTAGTTCACGTTTGAAATATAATATAAAATCCCGTGAAGTGCAGTAGAAATATTTTGGAATTTAGTAGAACTAAAAGGAAGCAGCATGATTGAAATTTTCCATACTCCCGTATAAACTTGGCCTTAGGACTTGTCTGATTAGTTAGGGCTTCGTCGGTTATCAAGCATTTCACAATAAAACTTGCCTTTAGTAGCTCTTTATCTCTTTCTCTGTGGCTTGGATCTCAAGTCCCATATGCTCGTAGAAAGGGCCTCCATTCAGGCACACTAGGGTGGCCAATTCCTTCAAAACCCCTGGCTGCTGCCACACAAGCATAATGGCTGCTCCAGATGGTTCCCCAGCGTAAGGAAGAAATCTTTTGGTGCCAAAAACTGGGGAGGGAGAAGCTCACTTGCATGAGGCAAAGCAGCTCCATGCCACCTTGGGTCACACCACCTTTGTCACCAGGTGGGTAAAAGGAAGGGTTATGCTACAGCAAAGCTTTCCAAACTTTTCATGTTGGTGACACACTTTTTAGACATGGATCATTTCACGACACAGCAGTTCAGTTTTACTAGCAAACCAGAGGTTAAGCTAACCTCTTTCTAGCCCTGTGAGGAGCGTGGGGAGCATTCACTCGACACACCTACACACTGCAGCCAACACACTAATGTGTCGCGACACACAGTTTGGAAAGATCTGTGCTACTACAGCCTTTGGGATAGCGAAGAGTACAGATTCTACTAGAAAGAGAATACTTTCTCACATAACTTAGTAGCAGTTTAAGACTACCAGTACAAAATTAAACATTTTCATAAACTACAAAACAGCAAATCAAAGTAGAAAAAACCTTTCTGGAAGGTTTCAGAGACTATACAGACAGATATGTACAATTCATTAATTGGTAAGGCCTACAACAAAGTTTTGAGCATTTGCAGCTGTGTAGGCACTGGTGAGCAAAGAACACAATATGAAAATGAGTGCATGTTAAGAAATAAGCTGCCATATATGTGTTTGACTTAGACTACTTTTCAGGCAAAATATGTCTCCAAAGTGATTTATAAACTATATATCAGCATGTACATATCAAACTATATTATTAGAGCCATTTAAAGCACTTAAACATAAATTTCCTTCAAAACATTTATCGAAAGCTAACATAAGCAATGTAGTAGCCAGCAAAATGCTTACGATTACAGTTCCAGTTATACAGTCCAGGTCACAGTTAACTTCTACAGGTCTCAGTGAAAAGATAGGTCTTAAAAGTATTGAGGAGTGGCAATCAAATTCCACATTTGTGGCGCCATTGCCTTGGTTTCTTTGGCTAAACTATAGCTCTTAGTTAGAACGGAAGTATTCATGGCCTGCTCCCAGATCTGCTGTTGCTGCTGTGGGTTCTGGACCAGTTCTGGAAATACGAAACATGGCTGTATCTGGAAACATCAGGTAGGAGAGGGGGCAGCAATACCATTCACTTAGGATGCCACAATTCTGAAGGGGAGGTCAAGCATGCCTGGGCACGTCCTGAAAATAAGCTTGCATATGGCTTGGTTAAAATCTACTCTATTTTGAAGTTCTTCATTCTATAAACTATTTAATGCTTTAACAGTTATGCTTGTGTATCTATAAACACAGAAAGCATCGAAACAACGTGGGACCAAGCAAACCAATGTCGCAACCTAGAAGAAATATTGTAGGCTGCAGAATACAGCATGGATGGAAAGAAGGGAGTGGACCCGTGACACAATGGAAAGGCACTGTCCTAGACCAGGTTCCTGTAAATCCCTCCCTCTACCTTATCAAATATGATGGATTTGATTGTGTCTATGGACTAGAACTGCACAAAGACGAAAGGGTTTCAGCACTCGAAGTGCTTCCAGATAGAGTTGGTAAGTGTCTCGATGGAGCTGAATTTGTGTGTGTTATTTAAGTCCCATATACCCCAACTTTCATTCCAATACAAAAACTCAAGGTAGCTCACAATGAATTTAAAATTTATCAATTTAAAAAATATTTTAAAACCCCAAAAGAACCATAGAGAACAGCATTACATCAGCGGATTAAAGCCAATACAAGCTACAACCTAAAAGGACGGTTTTGACTAATATCCAGAAGATGGTTAGAAGTGATGTGCTCTTTTCCCCCCTTCACCACCAGTAATGGCTATTTCTGTCTAATGATCTCAGTTAATATAATATTTATTCAACCTTTTAAAATAATGAGTACTGGGACCAGGATCCAGTGTGGTGGTGTGGTTAGAGATAGGACCTGGGGAACCAGGGTTAAAATCCCCACTTGGCCATGAAGCTCACTGGATGACCTTGGGCCAGTCACAACCTCTCAGCCTAGCCTACCTTGCAAATAAATAAAATCCAGTGAGCCACTGTCTGTGCTCCCTAGGGCTTATGCATGCATTTTCCATTTTAATAAAATACCATGTTGTCACATTTCTAACATTTGCCTCTCTTAGTTGGCAGTAAGTATCTTAGAACTAGGACAATGGTATCCATGTTTCTCATAATGTTAAAAATTCAGTAAAGGGACTTTGCCCACTCTCTCGTTAGCGTTATCTCTTAAAAACAACAACGGAGATCGTTAGGACACCTTAAAGATTATCAATTTTATTATGATTAGAGACCACTTCATAAAAAGCATGGAAAACAGGCTTATTCCGTGCATGGTGCCTGAGTTTACTTTGGTGTGTCTAATTAGAATTTAGCTTCCAAAGGATAATGGCTGAAATAGGGGGACATATGGATGCCATGGTTAGAAATTGTTCAGTATGTAGTCATGGATAGAAAAAAAAACCCCTATACCTCAGTGTGGATTAAACCAGAAGAATGATGTAGCTTTGAATTCTGGGCAATACCTTTAGTCTTGCATTAGGCGCACTATTTTCCTGGCCTCCTTTAAGATGTAGTAGCCATGCTTCTACCAGAATGTTAATCAGATATTGGTGTTTCTCTTCCAGCTTCATCTCGAATCAGTGATGCCCACCTGGCAGACACAATGATTGGCAAAGCAGTGGAGCATATGTTTGAAACCGAAGATGGTTCAAAAGATGAGTGGAGGGGAATGGTCTTGGCTCGGGCACCAATAATGAACACATGGTTTTATATTACCTATGAGAAGGATCCTGTCTTGTACATGTACCAGCTCTTAGATGACTATAAAGAAGGTGATCTCCGTATTATGCCTGATTCCAGTAAGTTGGCCAGTATTTTATCCTCTATGTAAAGAAAGAAAACACGTTTAAAATGTCTGACATTGAGCATTGAGAGTTTGTAGAAGAATTGGAGCACTGTTTACCACTTGTTGTTTGAAGTGAGACAAACCAAGAAAAAACTTCAGCTACAGTGAAGTTTGCAGTGAGATAAACTATGAGCCGTGGTTTGGCTTTAACATTAAACCAAACCATGGCTTAGCCCCAAGTAGCATAGCAGCAGGATTGGTGGAAGAATGCTGCAGCTGGGATCATCCGTTGTAGAACATGAAGGTTTGCACCAAGTCATGGTTTGGCTTGGCGCTACATGAGAATCTGGTCACTCACCTGTCATGATTTCTTATAACTACAAATCATGGGTCAGGATTTGATCGTGAGCTGTTGGGTTTGACCCTCAATTCTATGGAGCCACTGACATATACAGTATGTCTGAAGTGGTATTCTGCAGGCTTCAGAGGAGTATTTTGTGGTGCCTAATTTGTCCAACTTGGAAGAGGTGATGGAAAAGGCACCCTTCCCTCTTCTCGCTTTTAAAGGGTTATTTATAAAGCGATCTCCTTTGTTGTGGAGCATAAGGCCAAAAGAAGAACTATTTGAGGTAATTTGAGGTTTGGAGGAGAGCCCAGAAATGCTAGGCTTACCATACTAACTTTTTCCCTTAATTGACTATTTGGAGTCTAGGAAGATAAGATTCTGAGGGAGTTACTCTAACTGATACTGTAATGCTTGACAGCACCAACCACAACGTTTTTTTAAAAAATACTTTATGGATTCTGATACTTGGAACATTTTGTAGAGCGAATATAAATGAACAGGCAAAGAAACTTCAGCATGGCTTTCACATTCCAACTTTTAATTCAGGTTAACTACTCAGCTGAACAGGTTGATATGTTGTCAGATCAGCAGTATAGCCAACAGCTGATAAACCTCCAGGAATTAGGTTATGCAACAATCATTCGGTTTGTCCTTACCATAATCTGTATTTAAGATGGTTACTGTGAAATGGAGACAAATTGGATAAGAGGAGTATCAGATATGTATATCCAGTTGTTTATTTTCCCTGGGTTAGAAGACAAAACCATTGTGATCAGAAATATGTTGCCATGAACATTTAATTGCTGAAGCACGTAGTAAACTATTACTCGTTGAGCTGACTATGAGCATCTGTTCTATAAAATCCTGCTGCATTTTAACTCAAACGTTGTGTTCACAGATGATTCACCTCCAGCAGAACGGGAGCCTGGCGAAGTTGTGGACAGCCTAGTGGGGAAACAAGTGGAATATGCCAAAGAAGATGGCTCAAAAAGGACTGGCATGGTCATTCATCAGGTGGAAGCCAAACCCTCGGTCTATTTCATCAAGTTTGACGATGATTTCCATATTTATGTCTATGATTTGGTGAAGACATCTTAGACACCACCATGCAAACTTTTGCCAAACTTGTGGAACTTCAATGTAAAATTTGTAGACACAAAGACTTAAGTGCTTTCCAGTTTATTTGAAAGCTTAAATGTCCCTGCGAGCCCACAATCTCTGCCAGGAAAACTATTCCATTGTGAACTATACAAATAGACTTTTATGTGAACATGACACATTTTGTGTAAGGGAACTCCCTTTCTTGGAGGAAGTCTTCTGGTGGGTATGTGGATGAAGTTAGAGAAAACGGCAGCTGCAAATTCAAGCTGTGTAAAGTGGATCTAGCAACATAATCATTAATCTGATTTCCCCCCACCCCCCAAATATAACTTTCCCTCACCGTCTCACATAACTATTCAACTGCCACATGCAAGTCTAGCTTGATATTATTACTTTCATGTATGTATTAAGTTTTCTTGTCTGGCAGTCCTTGTTTTCACAGGGTTTGGGCAAAGATGACTATAATATGTTTAAAGCAGTGTTAAGGAGTGCCTAACCCAATTTAACATCGGTGTACTGTGTTCAGGTTAACTGTTGAGCTACTATCACATGAGAATTTTGTACATTTTAGTTGCAGGAAAATAGAACGTGGCATACATGTAATGCAGCTGAATGCAGAGTAAGAGCCCATATTTGCAACTGTAGGACCTGGTCAAAACATTCAAAGCAAGGATGCCTTCAGTTCTCAATGTCGTAGGGTTTTTTTTTGGTTAACTTTTAGCAGAATCCAGGCGCTTGGTGCCCTAGCAGTCTAGAACTCCATGTTAATGTTAAATTCTCCGCAGCAACTACTGGGTGTCTCAGTTTCAAAACTAGCAACCTAGATTCTTGTGTGTGGACTTAAATCTGTTACGTGTAAAGACAAACCTCACAAGAGAAGAGTCCTCGTACATTAAAGGCTTGTGTTGCAGAGAAGGAGAATCATTTGTTGCCTTCTACTTTGATCTGCTGCATTCCTTCTCATTTTACTGTGTTTTGTTCAAGAAGGCACCTACCTTCCCCACCCCTCACCCCTCTTTCTGGCCTTTCTTCTTGGGGTTTACCCAGACAAGACATTATACAAACTCAAACCTGTTGTCGCCTTTTGTGCTGTACGTTGTATTTTGCTTGAAGTATGCTGTTTTAACGTGAACTTCGTTAAAAGGACACTGGGGTTCTGCATGCTAGTGGGGTACTGCCTGACAAAAGCTAGGCGGTCTCCATGGTCCAGTCATCTGCAGCAGATTGTGGATGTAAATAAGCAGCCCACAGCCACAAAATTTGCTTCTTCTTCTTCTTCTCTCTCTCTCCCCCCCCTTCTTTCTTTTTTTCTTTTTTTAATTTGTAAGGTAGTAGATTGGTCTGGCAGCTTTTTAAAGTAATCAGTGGAAAAATATCAAACAGCAGCAAAGCTGAAGCAGGGCATTGCAGTCTGCACATGTAACTGAGAAGCAAGCACCATTGTTTATATATAGCTAGAAGATAAAACAAAAAACGAGTGTTGCTGATCAGCCTTCTGAGGTCCAAATTACCTCTGGTGTGGGTATACATATTAAACTCCATGTGGTTTAAACTTCCTTTTTTTTAATTTTGCCTGATTTCATATTGTAGCCTTAAGGCTTGTGCCTCATTAATGCTCTTTAATGGTAATAAATACCGTATAAATACAGTATCTTAAACTTTTCCTGTCCCATCGCTGCTGTTGCATTGTGTACAGTATTTCATCATGGGCAACCCCAAGGCAGGCTGTAGTCTTTTCCATGAAGAGCTTCTCAAATGCAGTCCTTAAGCCCTAAGTACCTGAGTCATAAATGTTCCTGTGTTCTTGAACCAAGTGAGCAGATTTGCAACCCAGTGGTTTTTGTTTTGTTTTGTTTCCTCCTTCATTCTGCAGATCTGTATGTTTTCTATTGACTCTTTAGAGTCCTGCATGTAAATCTCAAAAGCTGAGCCTGGCTCCATGAGCCCAAGTTGATATTTGTGGCATAAGAATGAGTGAGTGTATTGAACCACACACAAGATACACGAAACATAGTACTTTGAATTGCGGGCTACGTTAACGGTGAATCCAAGGTGTGCCTCCAGGATTGCTGAGGATTAGGTTGACCGAAAATGTTGCATTCAAAGAGCTTCCAATTGGAGGTTTTCTGCAATACACCACATTCTGCCAGTTGAGAGTGATCTATATTCTGTGTAAATGTTATGGTTTTTAAAGTGTCCATATTGTCTGCTTTTTTGATAGCTTAAACCACCTTTTTTTTTTCTTTTTTTTCTTTTTTCTTTTTTTGAGGCTTGAGACTTGATTCTACTCCCTGCCAATCTGCTTTGGGCTTTGTTTTAGGCTCACGTTTCAGATCTGCATGCAGTGCTTGCTACCCTGGTAACTAAATGTTGGTTCCTTTTCTTAGGGGTTCAACATGATTTTCCGAGTTATCACGGGGCTTGTGGTGGCACAAGCTATGGATCTGTGTATAAAAAGTTACTGGCCTTTCTCTCCATTTACCTGCTGTAGTATTGTATATTGTGTGTTTCGCGTGATGTCAGGCTGCCCTGTACAATTTTAAAAAGACAAACTTAAAATGCAGACCATCCCTTTTTTGCATGCTTAGAAGGTAGAATGTTCAATGTAACAAACTTAAAAGTTGCATGTTTAAAAAAATGTTTAGGTTTTTAGTTTCGGGGTTTTTTTTAATTTTGTGTTCTTTGTGAATTTGCTTATTGTGCTGTTTTTAATGGTGGTTAGTAGGATAAATGCACTGGTGAGGCAAACATAGTGCCAACAGGAGGTAACTTTCCAGTTGTATGTGTCATGCAGCGTTTGAAGGGACCATGTACTTTGCTCAAAATGAAATAAAAAAACCAGTAAAATTCAACAGTATGCTTTTTTGTGCCAAATCCTAAATTAAGTTGAAGTAGAATCATATTACGACACTCCCCTCCCCAAACAATGATGGAAAAAGCCTTTTTTTTTCACTGAATAAATTGCTTAGCCTTCTTAAATTGGTACATTTGAAAAATGAAGGCTTCTCCAGAGATACATTAATTGCAACCATTTCAGAGAACCCAAAAAAACAGAAAAAGCTTCGATGATTTGTGGTTCCTTGGAAATGCTGTGCTTTTTTGTATTTTACATCATTAGTGCAATTTGGATGGTTTTTGGTATGTGTATAGTTCAAAGGTCTTCGTGTTCACATTTTAAAATTAGGTAAATGACTTCATCTCTAGAGCTTGGTTTCATTTTTTTATTTTTTAACAATGTAGACAGTTCCCTGTTCTCTGCATTTAGAAGTATAAACACTTTAAATCTGTTACTTAATTCTGTAAGTAATTTTTATAATTATGATGTAACTCTATCCTTAAAACATTTAAAATAAACCCTTTATGTGCAACTTACGACTGTAAATCTTGTTCTCATAAGGCAAATGTAGTGATGTGTTTAAAACTGAATAGGATTTTTTTCCATTTTTATAATTAAAATTATTTTAACAATGAGCATTTATGCTGATATATACTTGCCTAAGCAGCTGTGCTTATTGGGCAATACTTTTGGCCAAGAATTGTAACTTTAAAATCATCCATTTAAAATGGATAGAATTCTTTGGCATTGAAACAGCTTTATTGTACTTTCAACCCAAAAAACCCAAAAAGACAACATCTAAGGAAGTAAGGTAAGTAGGTGAAGCAGCCCCCAAAATATTTTGGTATATTGTCCCCTGTATATACACTTTATCCGGAATTTAGAAGTAGTGGCCTTGAAAACAAAATCAGATATTACAATATTTGCTTTGAATGCCTGATAAAAGTGTTGATATGAAAACTGTTGAATATGGTAATGACTGATAGCATACAACTTCCATGTATCAATCATGGTCCTTCAAAAACATCAAAATTCAAAATATATCCAATTTTGCCTTTTAAAACTGACAGACTTCTTGAGTGGCAGGGGTAAGGCAAAGTATCTCTAAAGAATCCTAAATACAAGCTGATTTCAGTAGAATTTACATGCAAATAATTTGAGTTTAATATTTGGCTGTCACTTAAGCTAGGATTTAGTTCCACTGTTCTAAGTAGCATAAGAAGTTGACATACTAGATTCCTTTAGAAAGCTTTTGGAAAAAATGACAATTTCCCTCTTTCTGCCAATTTGACATGTAGCATGTGCTGGCAAAGACAACAATTATGCATGTAATGGGCTTCCAGTAAAGTACTTAACATTTCCCTACCCATTGAAACATATTCTCTCTCCCTCATTAATGTGACACTTTTATTTTTTAAAAAATAAATACTTATATCTTACCTTTTCCACCAGTGATGCGTAAGGCAATCACGACAAACTTGGGGGGGGGGGAGTAACAAAAGAAACTAAATATATTTTAATCTTTTTAGTAGATACATACAGTGGTGCCCCGCAGGACGAAAAACCCGCTAGACGAAAGGGTTTTCCGTTTTTCGATGCGCTTCGCAAGACGAATTTCCCTATGGGCTTGCTTTGCAAGATGAAAACGTCTTGCGAGTCTTGCGATTTTTTTCGCTCCCCCCCCCTTTTTCTAAGCCGCTAAGCCTTTAATAGCCGCTAAACCGCTAATAGCGCTAAGCTGCTAAGCCGCTAATAGGGTTGCTTCACAAGACGAAAAAACCGCTAGACGAAGAGACTCGCGGAACGGATTATTTTCATCTTGCGAGGCACCACTGTATATAAGTGTTAATTCCATTAATGTTTCATTGTTTTTTAAAAATGTTTTTAGCTGTTCTTATTTTATCTGTAAGCCGTCTTAAGTCCCTGTCTGGGAAAAAGGCAGTGGAACAGAAAAACACCAGACAGTTCTAGGTAGGATCAGTCCCTTTGCTGGCCATGTTCAGGTCTATAGCTTATAGAATACCTACAGTTGTAATATTCTGACCTTCCGGCAGCAAACGGTCTCCTTGCAGCATCCCAACGCAGGCTAGGCTTTGGCCAAGAGCAAATTTGCCTCAAACACAGGTGTCTATAGTTTCGATTGTGCCAAGTTGCTCTCATATGCTTAACCAGGTGCAGGACGAAAACACCCAAAATTAAGCACACCTAACTTAAACCCTTTTTTGCCCTTTTCCTTCTGCAGGCACAAACCCCCTTATATATTAACGCAACAAGAGAGGTAAGATGACTCTCTAGGGGGAGAGCCCTCAAAGTATTTGGGGCTGAATCCACACTGACCTTTTTAATGCCATTAGAACAATATTGGATACATCGTTCTAAAACGTTACAGGGCATACCTGAAAATTAAAAGCATTTTTGTTTCCCCCATCAAAACACTTATTTCCCCTACTGCTGGTTGCTCTGCTCTGGTGTCACATTTTAATAGCACATTATGAACGTTAAAACCAGGGTGTTCTGTCTCCCATCTGTGTTACGAAAACCATTCCTTGACCCTTAACGTTACAAACCATGAGTGTCCATCCGCCCTGGGTGCGGCTGCCAAAAGTCCTTTCCCCATGTCTCAAGTGTAACTTTACAGTATGCAGGTCTTCTCCAGAAGATGTTGAGCCCCTTTCCTGAGCTGCAAAGCAGCAGTGGATAACTGCAGGCCTAGGACCCAAACGCTGCTTCCCGTGCCTTTGGGACTCCACCCAAGCAACACTTCATAGGCCACGGCCTCGCCAACCCTGCTCTGCTCTCTTCCTGAGAGCTTTTGCCTGGCCGACACATATCCTTAAACTATGATGATGCCTTTCGCTTGCACAGATGAGGATGGGTTGGGTAGGGCATGCAAAAACTTCAGATTGTGTAGCCAGAATATCTCTGCAAAGGTAAGAAACCGCCTGGTTGCCCTGCCCACTTCTGTCTCTATCCCTGCCTACTTCTGTGCATGCCCGCTGGATGAAAAGGTGGGAAATAAATGCAAAATAATAATGCTGCCATAGGTTCTCCATTGCTGCTGCCAAGGTTTATAAAGGAAGGAAGAGTTTTATCTGGGCTTGTCTCTGTGCGTCTTACCGAGGCCACGTGTTTTGAACTTGAAAGGCGAAAGGGTCCACTCTCAATGTGGCCCCCACTTGCTTCCTGCGCACTCCAGTGTGGTGTAGCCAGTGTGGTGTAGTGGTTAAGAGCGGTGGACTCATAATCTGGTGAACCGGGTTCGCTTCCCTGCTCCTCCACACGCAGCTGCTGAGTGACCTTGGGCTAGTCACACTTCTCTGAAGTCTCTCAGCCCCATTTACCTCACAGAGCGTTTGTTGTGGAGGAGGAAGGGAAAGGAGAATGTTGGCTGCTTTGAGACTCCTTCGGGTAGTGATAAAGCGGGATATCAAATCCAAACTCTTCTTCTCCTCCTGTTGGTGCTCGAGTCCTGTGATGATTGGCCATTTACAAGGTCAGCTCCACATTTGAAAAATCACGGGCTTTCATAACCTAATGTCTCTCCCTGGGTGCGGTATGGAAACCACATCAGAAGTGTGAACCAGTTTCCCCTTTAAAACTATTAAAAGAGCTTGGAGGCGTCACATGACCAGCACAACACTAAAATTCTAAACTGCCCAATGGGGTGTTTCTCTTTTAAAGGCTGGAAGGTTTCAAGCACGATAGTGGGTACATTTAAAAGGTTGCAGCCATGTATGTACAATTCAAACTGACAAGGTCAAAACAGCTGCCCAAGATGATAGAGTGACATATCAGAAGTGCTGGGATCAGATAATCAACAGGATATGGGGTGCCTTGAATAAGCATCAGGTATGTTTTTGTGGGGGACGCAGGTGGCGCTGTGGTCTAAACCACAGAGCCTAGGGCTTGCCGATCAGAAGGTTGGTGGTTCGAATCCCCGCGACAGAGTGAGCTCCCGTTGCTCAGTCCCAGCTCCTGCTAACCTAGCAGTTCAAAAGGACGTCAAGTGCAAGTAGATAAATAGGTACCGCTCTGGCGGGAAGGTAAACGGCATTTCCGTGTGCTGCTCTGGTTCGCCAGAAGCTGCTTAGTCATGCTGGCCGCATGACCAGGAAGCTGTCTTTGGACAAATGCTGGCTCCCTCGGCCAGTAAAGCGAGATGAGCGCTGCAACGCAGAGTCTTCTGCAACTGGGCTTAACGGTCAGGGGTCCCTTTACCCTTTACCTTTATGTTGTTGTGGAGCTCAGTGAATCACTGACATTTAAAGAAATGGCAAGAGAGGAATTGCTTTCAACTTGCCCCCTAAAAGGAGAATTTCCCTTTGCCCTCCCCTCCCCTGCTTTTGTATTGGTTCTGGCCTTTGAAAGAAATCTGGCTCAAAACAATGAAAATGGCCATTAGGAAAATTATCAGCCTTTAAGTCACATTTTCATTAGATGCAACTCTTACCTTTCTTCAATATTTTGTAAATAGTAATTATAGGAGACCCTGTGCAACAGGGTGAGAAACATTTTCCTTCTTATATGAATAGGGTATAGGGTTGCCATATTTCAAAATCTGGACACAAAAAGACCGTTTTGGGGGCGGGATGAAAGTTGTTGAGAGTGGGATTTTTTGTGTTTTTGAGATATTTTTAAGGAAATTCGTCAAAATCTTGACTTCCAACATGGGTTGCCATACATCCAGATTTCCCTGGACATTTCAGCGATTTTCGCCCAGACACCTTATTTCCAACAGCCATATTTCAGCTATGTCTGGGAAATTCCAGACTTATGGCAACCCTATTACACAACTTGCTACTGTTATATTCTGACTCCCCAAAATATTACTCAGTGTAGATTGTGGTACTTAAATACTAAATGCAAAATGCCCTAAATAAAAATTTCAACAGTATGTCAATTCTTAAGTCAAAATAGTAATTGCTATATAAAAAAGATCACATCAGTTCTAAAAACTCTCAATAGTTTACAAAAACGAGTTTTGCACTGCTGTACAGTATGAGTGTTCCTGTTTAAAGCTTAAGTTATTCTTCAGAGTAAATTGTGTCTTGAGCTTTTGTTGTCACCACAACAGGAACACTTAATTTCTTTCTGGCAATGCTTTCCTATACATCCAGCATTTATGAAGCTTCCCTTAGTAAATTGCCCCAAAACATTTTGTTCCCATATAGCATGTATATTAGATCCAATTGTACATTTTTATTATTTAGCATATCTGATAGAAGACTTCATTGAAGTTAAGTTTCTCAAAACAGTTTTGTTTTGTTTTTATTTATTAAATATCTATCCCACCCTTCATCCAGAGATCACAGGTCAGTTTACAATTTGGAGTCAGAACTCTGGGTTCTGGGAAGAATATCTTCGGGTGTAGTCCTGTAATACTTACCTGGGAGTAAATGCTATTAGAGGACATGCTATTAGTTCTACTAACTTACTTTTGAGTAGAAAGGCCTGGGATTGTGCTGTTGGTCATTTAATGGATTTTGTCAGCCATTTGAATCTCTTTGCAATTTATTTCCTTTTTTTGTCTAGCTTGGGATGCTAAAATGTTTCTGTACCATGTCGCGGGAGGGAAATCCCCATATGTGGGGATCAAAGGATGTTAACAAAATCATACTTTACATAGTGTGAGCCTTTTGAAAAACAAAAATGTTATTTTCTTCCATCAAAGGAAATATGTAACTCCCCCCTTTTGAAGAGGCTGATGAATTGTGCCTCATGTTAATTGCATGTTCTGAAATTGCTGCTCTTACCTGGTCAACAATGGACACTTTTCTTCTAAAGGACTCCCCAAAAGAAATATGTGGCCGTTGGCACTGAATTTACAATTACTGCCATTTTCAGCTGCAATTAAAGCCATTTTCAATTTGGAAAGGCCTCAGTGTTGCATAATACAAAACGTACAATGGTTCACAAAAGCATGATACTGCAAACGAGCCATTAATGCACAACATATTCATACAGAAGGAATCCAGTTCCTACCAGAGTTGTACAGCAAGACTTGTACAGCTACTTTTCGTAGAGGATGCTCACTCGGTAGTAGAAAGTACCGTATTTTTTGTCCTATAGGGCGCACCGGCCCATAGGACGCACCTCGTTTTTTTTTGGGGGGGGGGAAATGAATAAAAAAAATTATCCCCCCCCCGCGCCGCGGCTGCCGCCCCAAGCCTTGCGCACACCTGCCCGAAGCACGGGGCACCCTCTGGAGGGCTCCGCGTGCTTCGGGCAGCAAGGTTCCACCCCAAGCCTTGCTCGCCCGGCGGGACCTCCCACCGGGCGCGTGAGACTTGCAGACACTCGCCCGAAGCACGGGGAGCCCTCCGGAGGGCTCCCCGTGCTTCAGGCGACAGGCTGCCGCCCCAAGCCTCGCGCGCTCGGCGGGACCTCCTGCCGGGCGCGCAAGGCTTGCGGACACTCGCCGGGGCTGCAGGCTGCTGCCCGCAAGCCTTGTGAGCCCGCGGGAACTCCCGCCGGGCTTGCAAGGCTTGCGGATAGCTTCCTGAAGCCTGGAGAGCGAGAGGGTCGGTGCGCACCGATGCCTCTCGCTCTCCAGGCTTCAGCGAAGCCTGCATTCGCCCCATAGGACGCACACACGTTTCCCCTTCATTTTTGGAGGGGAAAAAGTGCGTCCTATGGGGCGAAAAATACGGTAAACACAGGTTGCATGTCCTCCGTTGGTATTCTTACTTTCCCCCCTCAATAGCAGTGGGGGAAAGCAGGTTTCCAGAAATGGTGTATGAATTCCCTGGCCTGTGAACATCAAATGTGCTGCATTTCAGTGAGTCGCATATCAGGGATGTGGGTGACTCTGTGGTCTCCACCACTGAGCCTCTTGGGCTTGCCGATCAGAAGGTCGGTGGTTTGAATTGTGAGCTCCCGTTGCTCTGTCCCAGTTCCAACCTAGAGTCACATATCTACAGAAAAGCAGACTTCAGCCTGGAAATGTCTTGCATGTGGTGCCCCATTAATGATGCTAGGAATGTGTGATTTTGAAAATGTTGAAGGGGAAGCTGATTTAATAAATATAATAATTCCGTTCCACAGTAACTGGGTTATTCTATCGTACCCTAGCTAGTTTTTCTCTTAGTTAATACGTTGCAGCCCCAACATTTTGGATTATGTCACTGAGAGAATGGAAAGACAAAACAAGAGTGTATATTCCATATATACAAAACAGGCCATTTCTTGAATTATCAGCAGCAGATGCTATAACCAGCTAAGGAAAAGAAACGAAAAAGAACTGTGCTATGAAAAATGTATTTTATTAGTCGTTCAAAGTTATTCCTAAGATCATACAGGGAAGTAATAATAATTTTATTTATATGCCACTCAGCTGACTGGGTTGCATGAGTCGAACTCTGGGCAGCTTCCAAAAAAGTATTAAAACATGAAAAACCTCAAACATTGAAAACATCCCTGTTCATTAGAAGACCTAATGAAAGATAAGCAGATATACTGAGGTGCAGCCAGGCCACATTCCAGCTCTTGGAAGGTATGGTCTGGGTATTAGGGCTTGTTTGCCAGGATACCCCGATGATGTAAGAGGAGACTGTATAAATGGAATTAAATGGCAGGATTTGAACCTGTTAAATTTACAGCAAAGGCAGATATATGATACACCCTCCCAACATCATGTTCTGGGGTTACACACTTTGATTACCTGCAGAGACTCGAGATCAAGGGACCAGTGGGAACAGACGGGGTAGGGAATCTGGTTTGAGTAGCTGTCTCTCAGGGATTGGACTCAAGAGGACGAGACGGAGGAGAAGTGGTAGAGATCACACACCCCCTTCTCCTGATGTTGCAGGAGAAGAGTAATGTAGCATTGATTTACAGCAGGGAGTTGAGGGGGTGGAGGAAGGTTATGACTCAAGAGATAGATGAACAAAATAGTTGGGCAGTTTTAGAAGGGGGGTGGGTGGGATTGTGACAGGGCAGCCAGCTGACATGTCACTGGAGAGTATTTCAGACCCCCCCCTTCCCCCAGAACTCGGTGTTCATTAAGGGTACAAGAATAACGGGATCAGCAGACACTTGGGAGATGTTGCTGTTAGGAATGTGGGAGGTGGAGCCCAGTTTTGAGCAACGCCATTGTTGTTCTTTTGTCTCTCGCTATTAAGATTGAATAAAACTTATTAAAAAGGACTTAACCTTGTTATCTCTGCTCTTGCTGCAACCGGGAAAGGAACAGCTTTCCAGAAGCCTTGATACTATCTTTTGTTAGCTTTTTCCAGCAAACATAGGGAAGTGGCTGCTTTGCATATTAGGTATGGAAAGGGAAAGGTAAAGGGATCCCTGACCGTTAGGTCCAGTCGCGGACGACTCTGGGGTTGTGGCGCTCGTCTCGCTTTACTGGATGAGGGAGCCGGCATACAGCTTCCAGATCATGTGGCCAGCATGACTAAGCCACTTCTGGTGAACCAGAGCAGCGCACGGAAAGGCCGTTTACCTTCCCACCGGAGTGGTACCTATTTATCTACTTGCACTTTGACATGCTTCAAACTGCTAGGTTGGCAGGAGCTGGGACCGAGCAACGGGAGCTCACCCTGTAGCGGGGATTTGAACCACCAACCTTCTGATCGGCAAGCTTTAGGCTCTGTGGTTTATACCACAGCACCACCAATAGGTACGGAAAGTTAACTACAAATAGTTGTGTAGGTAGGGAATGAACTGCACAGATTCTGCAGTCCTGGTGCGGACAATACTGACCTAGGCAGACCAGTGGTTGACTTGGTACAATATGCCTATTGAAAAATGTGTTCTTCCTTTATCCTTCGTGGGCAAGTAAATGTCTTTCTGAGGATTGCAAAATAAACACGCAACCACTGTTGAAAATACAAAGACACACAGGTATTCTCTAATCACACTATAAATAGATGGTGTGTGTTTTCATTGCCTGAAAAGGCTGCTGGTTAGTAGTAGCCAAGACATGTTGATCAGTTGTCTAATACACAGTGCCATCTTGGTGTCAAGTTAAAGCTAATTTGCTCCCTTGACGGAAGATCAGGGACTCTGTATAAATAGAGGCATGGCGACAAACCTCAGAGCACCTTACAGACAAGTAAATAAATACATCTGAAGAAGTAAATACACATAGGCTATGTTGCTGTGACCAAAAGAGATGTATCTCCAAAATGTAGCAACCTCTTTGACATTTTCTCAATGAACACTTTAATAACTGTTTACACATGCAGTTCTCTAGGAATTGTGCATGGTTTCCAGTCGAGTCGCAGAGGCCCAACACTGGCAACAGAAAAAGAGGTTTTCACTGCAGCTAGTGCGCTATTGGGAAGTTTGCAAAACGCTAACTACAAATGTACATTTATACAACCTTCTCTCTGTTACTGCAATGCCCATTTGTGAACTATAGCTTCCATCACCCCTGCTCAAAAATCTGTGCCACTGAAGTTGGTACAGTGGTACCTCAGGTTATGAACTTAATTCGTTCTGGAGGTCCGTTCTTAACCTGAGGTACCACTTTAGCTAATGGGGCCTCCCACTGCCGCCGTGCCGCTGTCACGCGATTTCTGTTCTCATCCTGAAGCAAAATTCTTAACCTGAGGTACTACTTCCGGGTTAGCGGAGTTTGTAACCCGAAGTGTTTGTAACCCAAGGCATTTGCAACCCAAGGTACCACTGTATTTGCTTATATCACAGTGAACTGCCATAACATTTATCAAGTATAACTTGGATGTAGCTGTTACACATTACCATGCCAGGAAGTAGACACTGTGGTAAAATCATCAAGTGGTAAACCCATACAGTGGTACCTCAGGTTACATACACTTCAGGTTACATACGCTTCAGGTTACAGACTCTGCTAACCCAGAAATAGTGCTTCAGGTTAAGAACTTTGCTTCAGGATGAGAACAGAAATTGTGCTCTGGCAGCATGGCAGCAGCAGGAGGCCCCATTAGCTAAAGTGGTGCTTCAGGTTAAGAACAGTTTCAGGTTAAGTACGGACCTACGGAACGAATTAAATACTTAACCTGAGGTACCACTGTACTGTGTCCTTAATGGAAAAGCCTGAACTGGGTTTGAAAAGCCATATAATGATTTAGAACAAAGATCTGAAACAAAAAGTTGCAAAGTGGAGTCTTGCTCCTGTTCAGAAGACGCCATTCCATTTAGCACTGTTAGCCATCCAGCATTCCGTGTCTACTGAGCATGCTCAGTCCTCACTGAGCTGAGTTCCCATCCCCAAACATGCTTCCGTACTTCTGCAAACCTTGGGGTTCCTCTGAGCTTGCTCTGTCTTGCATTCAGATGGTTTTGACTACGCAAGTCATGAGGACTGCTTTTTAGCATATAGGATACTGCTTTGAAAGTTTGACTGCAAAGCTGATTAAGACCAAAAAGCATTGTGTGTTGACAGGAAAGATGGTCAAAGTCTAGAGCTGCCTTGAAGTTGCAGTGCTGCGGTAACAATGGCTTTATGTAAAACGTCATTCAGGTTTACACTCCACCCAGAAGGCTATGTGAACGCCAATATATGCCCAGAGCTCTTGAGGGGGCAAGCTCTCCTTTCATTCCAAAGAATAGCTGCAACTGCACAAAAGGAATGAGTGGAGAACTGCTTCTCCCAATCAATCGATGGGAGAAGTTCTTGCAGCTTTGAGCTTCACATTATCGCTCCACATCTGAAATACATCAGTGCTTCAGGATGCAAATTTGCAAGGTTATTTCCCAAACGATACCTTCTTTATCTGTTACTGCACCCAAACAAGTTATTTTTTATTAAACATCTTCAGCATATCAGGTAGTCGGTAATTAAGTAAAGAGAACATTCTCAGCCTAATAGGCTCCCAAGGTGGCTTAACAACCAATTAAAAACCATATAAATACTACCACTATTAAGATTAAGTACGGACCCTACAATCCCCAACAGCTAGGAACTGAAGCTGTAATTCTAAGCACACTCAGGAAGGAGTAAACCTCATTGAACACAGTAGAACTTAATTCTGAGTTAAACATCTAACACTGTGCATTTGCTTCTGCATTAAGCTTCCAGGATTTGTCACGAGGCCCTAGGGATTCCCAAGCTCTTCTCTTGAGCTTGGCTTCAAAGAGGTAAAGCAGGCATAGGCAAACTCTGGCCTTCCAGATGTTTGGGACTACAATTTCCATCATCCCTGACCATTGGTCCTGTTAGCTAGGGGTGATAGGAATTGTAGTCCCAAACATCTGGAGGGCTAGAGTTTACTGTCATTGTTAATGTTAACCGGGACTCCATTTTTATCTGGATTTGAAACCAGTTTCAAGCGCTGGTTCCAAAATTTTGTTTGTCTAAAACTGACCGGGCACACTGAAAAATATTGATTTCTAACACAGTGGTGCCTCGCAAGACGGAATTAATTCGTTCCGCGAGTCTCTTCGTTTTGCGGTTTTTTCGTCTTGCAAAGCACGGCTATTAGCGGCTTAGCAGCTATTAACGGCTTAGCGGCTTAAAGAAAAAGGAAACAAACTCGCAAGACGTTTCGTCTTGCAAAGCAAGCCCATAGGGAAATTCGTCTTGCGGAACGACTCAAAAAGCGCAAAACCCTTTCGTCTAGCGAGTTTTTCGTCTTGCGAGGCATTCGTCTTGTGGGGCACCACTGCATGTTCATGTTTCAGTAGCAACCAGTGTGCTGGAGCAGAGTTTTGGATCCGGTGTTATTGCCTGAGGCAAAATGGGAAGGTGCTGTCTCACTTCCTGGGGTCTCAGGAAAGTTGTGTGAGGCCTTCAAGTGGAGGAAACCCTTAGATTTTGCCGCCTGAGACAGCTGCCTCAGTCTGCCTCATGAATGGGACAGCCCTGTGTGTCACTGCAGCTCACCTGGATGGGGAAATGACAGGGCAGAACCACAGCCAATCTGGGATTCCCACTGGATGTTACCCGTGGCTTTGAATAGTGAGGAGAGAATAGAGAATATTGGTTGGAAATAAAGAAACGGGTTTTTGGAAGTTTCTGATTTGAGGTAGGTCATTTGGCTGTCAATCATGTAAGTTGCATTGTGCTAAAGAGAACCAGAATAAAAGCATCTGTAAATAAGTTTCAGTCATTTGAACTGCTTTTAAAAATGCAAATTAAAATAATTCTGGGCACTGCAGCTCACCCTCCCATCAACCCTTCACAAACTACAGTGCCCAGACTTCTTTGAAGAAAAGAAGGCACTTTCAATGTGCTTTACAGGTAAACACAGCCTTTGGCTTAACGTCTAGCCTGAGGAAGAATTCTCATGAACTCGACAACTTGTCCACGACTCTCTGCGTTATTGCGCAACTGTCGCTTGTCGGTGTAAGCCGCAGAGAAGGATTTTATAGCTGCTTCCCCAAATCCCCTCCTTTTTTCTTTCTTTTTGCAGGACTCTGCGAGCGGTCGTGCCTTTCTCTCGCCTGCCGGCTTGACGCTTCTCCGACCTGCGCGTGGACCAGCTGAGCAGACCTGTTGCTTCGCCTCCTGCGCAAAGAAACCCGCCCCCTTGCGCAATCGGATCTCGGGATGCTCAGAGCAGGAGCTCTCCAACCTCGCCGGGCTCGGGAGGGCTATTTTTAGCGAGCTCATTCCATTTATATCCGCGGCAAACAAAGGCATCGACCTTAAGACGCTCCACGGCTTGGATAACCCCGACCCCCTGCAGCTCTGCCTCCTCTCACCGGCCGCTGCCTCTCCAAAGCCACGCGCAAAATCGTTTCTCTCCCGGACATCTGGGGTCCCGGACGGATCCAGCACGCGTTGCGCCTTCATCCCGCTTCCTCCTCCTTAGGATCTTCGGCTTTCTGGAGGAAAAAAAGCCCATTCGGGAGCTCAGGAAAGTAGGGTATATGCCACCCCCTCTCCATTTGGTTCCTCGCTGCTGATTTCCCTCTGAAGCAGAAACATTCGCTCCATCCAAACTTTAGAGACGGTGCGCGCGGCGGATCGTATTAGAAATCCAGATCCCCGCTAGCACGTGGCTTCCCTCCCCCGGGGGGCCCCCTCAATTTCGGAGATCGGCAAGCGGGGAAAAAGGATCCCCAACCAACCACCACTCCCGGATCCTCGTCGCGCCGGTGAGAAAGAATGGTGGACATTTTCACTGGGCATTTCCTGGTGAACCGGGACGGCCAAGCCGTGGATCCCGAGCAAGCGCTGCAGAACAAGATCGTGGGCTTGTACTTCTCGGCCGCCTGGTGCTCCCTGTGCCGGGATTTCACGCCGATCCTGTGCGACTTCTACAGCGAGTTGGTGGAGGACGCGCCCTCGCCGGCGCCCTTCGAGATCGTGTTCGTCTCGTCGGACCGCAGCCGCGAAGAGATGGTGGATTACATGCAGAACATGCACGGGGAATGGCTGGCGGTGCCTTTCCAAGACACCTTTAAGCAGTGAGTAGGAGAAGGGAGCGGCTTGCGGGTGGAACACGTGTGTGGGAATGCAGAAGCCCGCGCAGAGGAGTGGGAGGCAGAGGAAGACCTCCCTCCCTCCCCCGCGTATGTAGATCCTCTTCCCCTCCGCCCACTCCGTGGTTAAACCCCGCCTCCTAATTCCAGGTGTGTGCAGCAATGGGAGAGGGCATCCTCCGGTGCTGCCAGGTAGGGGCAAAGCTCTGTTTAGCATTTATAGAGGTGCCTATGGTCCTCTATAAGTTGGGTGGTGCTGTGGTCTAAAGCACTGAGCCTAGGGCTTGCCAATCAGAAGGTCAGCGGTTCGAATCCCCGCAACAGGGTGAGCTCCCGTTGCTCGGTCCCTGCTCCTGCCAACCTAGCAGTTTGAAAGCACGTCAAAGTGCAAGTAGATAAATAGGTACCACTCCAGCGGGAGGGTAAACGGCGTTTCTGTGCGCTGCTCTGGTTCGCCAGAAGCGGCTTAGTCATGCTGGCCACATGACCCGGAAGCTGTACGCCAGCTCCCTTGGCCAGTAAAGCAAGATGAGCGCAAACAACCCCAGAGTCGTCTGCAACTGGACCTAAGGGTCAGGGGTCCCTTTACCTTCACCTATGGTCCTTTACTGGTTTTATGTCATGAAACTTGTACACTGCTTTATTGTAAAACAAAACAAAGCAAAAACTCACAAAGCGGTATACACACACACAAAAAGCTACAACAATAAAATTAACAAGAACAATAAGACGTTCAAAAAGTTGAAATAGCAATAAATGAAAAACTGATTGTATCAACTTTCTAAATATCTGGGGAGGCTTGTAGGAACAAAAATGTTTTTAACAGGTGCAGAAAAGAGTACAGCAAAGGCTTCTTCTTCTTCACTGGCGATCACTCGTAGCCGAGTAAAATTGTCTTCCATGAACACTGTCTTAAAAGTGAGTCCGCAAGTGACTGTGGAGGCCAGTTCTGGATCCACACGTCCTTCCCCAGTGGGGGCATAGGTTTCGAGGCAGGAGTTGATCACGGTGAGGGTTTGCCAAGTGTGCCTTCCTCTTAGCTCGTTTCTCCCTTTTGTCCTGAGTTCGAGCGTCTTCAAAGCCCATGACACCTTTGGTAAAAGCTGTTCTCCAATTGGAGCGCTCACAGGCCAGTGTTTCCCAACTGTCGGTGTTTATACTACTTTTTTTTTAGATTTGCCTTGAGAGAGTCTTTGAACCTCTTTAGTTGACCACCAGCATTACTCTTTCCATTTTTAAGTTCGGAATACAGTCATACCTTGGGTTGAAGTTGCTTCAGGTTGAGCGCTTTTGGGTTGCACTCCGCGGTGACCTGGAAGTAATGGAACACGTTACTTCCAGGTTTTGCATGCGCAGACGGTCAAAATGACATCACATGCATGTGCGAAAGCGGTGAATCGCAACCCGAGCACGCGCAGATGTGCAAACGCAGGTTGCATTCGCTTCAGGATTCGAACGGGGCTCTGGAATGGATCCTATTCATATCCAGAGGTACTACTGTAGAGTAGCTGCTTTGGAAGACGATAATGAGACATCCGTACAACATGACCAGTCCAACAAAGTTGATGTTGAAGAATCATTGCTTCAACACTGGTGATCTTTGCTTCTACCAGTGCACTGGCAATAGTTCGCCTATCTTCCCAAGTGATGTGTAAAAGTTTTTGCGTCAATAGGCAGGGAGTTTCAAAGTTTAAGTGCTGCCACAATGAAAGATTAAAGTCCGTACAAATTTGGAAGGGGTGTTCTGTGGCCTTTCTATCAGTTCTGCCCATTTGTCAAGGTTTTTAACCTCTTGCACCTGTTGGTTTGAGACAGTCATGGGGAGGGTACAAGTCTGTGGCCCTCCAGATGTTGCTGGACTGTGACTCCCATCATCCCTGGCCACACTAGCGGGGACTGAGTTGGAATAGAGGGGAGGGAAGGTGTTCTGGTAAAGAACAATATCTGCAAGTAGAAGGTCTGCAGAGGATCCTCACCGGAGACCTTAGAGATCCACTGCCCAGTAACCCAGATGAGATGGCCTGCTAACCTTGTATATATTTTGAGCAGCCACAGTTCTTTTACCCTGTGCCAGGAAATCTCTTTGCTGGACTTGAAGTCATCAGATATCGAATCTCTGTGTGTAAACTTGCTTTTTTTGGAAATCTCCCATTTTGAATTGACACTTTGGTCTCAGCAGGTTTGTCTGCTTACCTGCAACACCTGAACCCATCCTTCCTCGAAGTAGCATCATACAAGGGGCTGTCTCCTTTTACTGTCACAACAGTCCCTTGAAGTATTTCAGAGACGCTGCTCTCAGCTGTGAATCACAGAATCTTAGAGTTAGAAGGGACCCAAGGGCCATCTAGTCCACCCCCTGCAATGCAGGAATCTCAGCTAAAGCATCCATTACAGATGGCCCTCCAACCTCTGCTTAAAAACCTCTAAGGAAGGAGTCCATGACCTCCCAAGGGAGACCGTCCCACTGTCAAACAGCTCTTGCTGTCAGAAAGTTCTTCCTGACATTTAGTTGGAATCTCCTTTCTTGCAACTTGAAGCCATTGGTTCGATTCCTACCCTCCAGCACAGGAGGAAACAAGTTTGTTCCCTCTTCCATGTGAGAGCTCTTAAGATATTTGAAGATGGCTATCATATCTCCTCTTTTCCAGGCTGAACATACCCAGCTCCTTCAACCATTCCTCATAAGGCTTGGTTTCCAGACCCTTGATCATCTTGGTTGCCCTCCTCTGCACACGTTCCAGCTTGTCAGCATCCTTCTTAAATTGCGGTGCCCAGAACTGGATACAGTATTCCAGGTGTGGTCTGACCAAGGCAGAATAGTGGTACTATTACTTCCCTTGATCTGGACCCTAGACTTCTGTTGACTTGCCCAATGAGCTGAATGCCTAAGCAAGGATTTGAATGAAGTCCTCACTGGTACATCCGTTCTGCCCCCATGCACCACTACCCCCCAGAGTGGATTCACATCAAAGCAAGCAGTTCAGATTTGTTTGTTTATTTAAAAAAGCCCAAACCAGCCTAATTATGGTATTGAGATGAGATAGCCTCGCTTTAGGAGGGATAGGTGTGCTGAGGGATGGGGGTCGGGGAAGTTGTCACTTAGAATCATAGAATTGTAGAGTTGGAAGGAACAACGGCGGTGAACTAGTCCAACCCCGCTGCAATGCAGGAATTGGAGCAACAACCAGTGATGTGACAGGCACTCTAATGAGTAAGTTTACCTGTTCCCTGGTTTGACCACATAATTGCACCACCGGTTGTTAGATTAACTAACATTAACTAAGATTTAGAGGTAATACATCGCTGTATGGAAAGGAGCCATTTTGCTTACAGCTATAGCAGAGAGCTTGACGTCTGGATGATTAACTTCACCCTTGCACAAGGTCTTACCAGAGATAATGATAATGATAATGTTCAGTGGTTAGGTGGTTCCTGTTGGGTTGAAAATAAACGACAGATGAGTGGTAGGTGTTATACGGGAGGCGTCTCCCCAACATGTGTCGGGGAGTCCCTTTTATTGAATATTACAGCATTGCCACATCTGTGCTTGTTGCTGATTGGTTAACATAAGTACAAAGCAAGGGTTGCATATAAGACATTAATCATCAATAGGTTAAAGGTTGGGAAAAGGAACGCAGAGTTTAGACAGGCATGATCTCCTTCTTATATGATTGATATGGTGCTACTAATGGACTGCACGTTCCAGGGTGGTACGAAAGGAATGTACACAGAGGGATAAGTACAGATTGATATGGTGTGAACTCAAGGTGAACAGAACGTACCAGGGTGGTACGAAAAGAATGTAAAGATAACTACCCATCAGGTTCCCATGTCTGGAAGACAGACCAGTTATCTCTTCTGGATGGGGTTGCATTGCATCTTAAGGAGCAGGTTTGTAGCCTCAGGGTACTCCTGGATACAAGGATGTGGTTGGCTCTGTGATCTAAACCACTGAGCCTCTTGGGCTTGCCGATCAGAAGGTCGGCGGTTCGAATCCCCGCGACGGGGTGAGCTCCCTTTGCTCTGTCCCAGCTCCTGTCAACCTAGCAGTTTGGAAGCACGCCAGTGGGTTTGAGCCCCGCATTTGGCAAAAGATTCCTGTATTGTAAGGGGTTGGGCTAGATGACCCTCATGGTCCCTGATTCTCTGATTCCATGAAACCAATATCCCCCCTCCCATGGGCTCCATCTATTCATGAATATCTACCTTCCACACATCATATTCGTGAACATGCAAACACCATTCTGCCTCAACCACATTTGAAAATGTACTCACACAAACATTTACCAGCCGACATCCAAAAACATGACATCCATTCACGTTTGTGCCCTGGCTGCAATCCACAAATATACACTGGCTTCTGTTGACTGTCTTCCATCAGCCGACATCCACAAACATCAGTCTGCTTTAGCCTTGTAGCCTCCACCAACTTCTGAATCCAAAAGCCACTGGCTTTCATCCACCAACATCTGCCAGCTTCTGTTAGGTCCATCATGAGACGTCCACCAGCTTCCAACCACAGATACCAGCAGCCTTCAAGCAAGCAAACTTGCCTTATTTTCACTCCCTAGCATCCCACTGCCAGAGGATTGCCTTCTTCCATTCTCCAGTTTGCCTCCTGCAAGCGGAAGAAACCTGGGCAGTGCTGAATGTCACATCCATTGCCAGGTGTGTCCTGCTGGAAATAGAAAAGGGCTTTCCCCTTGGCCTGCCTTTATATCCACTCAGTTGCCAAGTGCCTTTGTGACATCACAATAAACCCACAGTCAGTGTCCTGTACCACCAGCAGCTAGACTCCTGACGGGGTCAGATGGCCAACGGCATGTGATACCTCTGCTAAAACATTGGCAGTGGCTGCCCAAATGCCACACAAGGCTCTTGTGTTGATATACAAAGCCCAAAACGACTTGGGTCCATGATACCTTAAGGAGCCATTATATCCCAGCTTAATCACTGATATCATCTGACAAAGGCATGTTAGTTGTCCCTCATACAGTCTTCAATGGCACCTGGCATCTCCACCATCTGGGGATAATTGGATCTGGACTGTTTTTCTTTTCTTTTCTTTTATAAATATTTTTATTATTTGTTTCCTTAAACAATATTTTCAACAATGCAATAACAAACATAAAGCTTTCTGTTCTGCCCAGCATGCGACTTCCCTCCTTCCCTTCAGCAGGTTTTCTGCTTTCAAGTCCTGTCTCGCGTTTTAGTTCTTTCACTTCTCTTATCCACATTGTAGGATTTATTTCAATCCTGCTATTGTCTTCAGATTTTGCAATTATGATTCAAATATACAATAAATTTACTCCAGTCCCTTTGAAATTTTTGATCATCCTGGTCCCGAATCCTGCAGGTCAGTCTGGCCAATTCTGCAAAGTCCATCATTTTCGCCTGCCACTCTGCAATCATAGGTACTTCCTGTAACTTCCACTTTTGGCCATTAAAATTCTTGCTGCTGCTGCGCGTACATAAATAGTCTTTGATCTATCTTCACAATTTCCTCTCCTATCAAACCTAGCAAAATTGCTTCCAGGTTTTTTTTGTGGTTTTTTTGAGAAAGGTATATCTAAACATCTTTTTTTAGTTCATTACAGATCAATTCCCAAAATGTTTTTACTTTATCACACGTCCACCACATATGATAAAAGTCTCCATCTGATTCTTTGCATTTCCAGCATGTTTTGACTCTCATTCTATACATCTGGGGATAATTGGATCTGGACTGTTTTCAATCACTAATATTCTGTAAAATTCTATCAGCTATATTTTATCTATACGATTAGAACAGATTTGAGGAACCAAAAACGCTTTTCTTTGCAGCCTGAGCAGGAGCAGTCACCATTAAGAAAAAGAGGCTGGAATAGAATATATGTGTGGACTGTCCATTTCTTCTTTTCTTTTCTTCTTCTTTAACTTTTCTGCTTTTCTACTATAACTTCTCACAGCTCTTAACCTAGCTCAAGGTCGTCATCTGAACTAGCCAGATGTTCAACTGAGAATCAACCACAGAATCATTCATTTGAAAAATCAGACTTTAGAGCTGTCTTCCCCCAAAATGGCATCTTGACATTCCATTTTGGTGACTGCAACCTTGGTTTAAGGAGCCATTTGGTGCCTAGTTTACATATCTGGGTTTCCAACACTGCCCTCATGTTACATGTTACGGAGGCCTGACTGGTCCCAACTACAAATTGGGTGTAATCCTAGGCTGTGAAACAATCTTCCAGCAGAGATTCAGCAGGCAGAGGTGTATAAGTACTTTTATAAACGAATAAATTAAATAAAGAATTCCTGAACTTGCTTCATCCCCCAGTTTGTCTGTATAATCCAGAGGCCATCCGGAGATTTAAGCAAATCCACAGCATCGGGATAAGCGCTGTAGTATTCATTCTCTTTCTCTCTCTCTCTCTCTCTCTCTTTCTCTTCTTTGGTCTGACTCTTTGTCTTGAGATAAATGAGCATGTAAACAGCATGCAACATTATCTCTGATGGATGCAGCCCATTGTTTTGCACCACCCAATCACTTTGAATGTGCCAAAGTCTCAATGAGATGACTTTACTGACTGACCTTGCATGACACAGCGCATGTTTACCCAGAGGAGGAGTCTGGCTGTTTTCAAAACAATAATGCGTAAATCATTTCTCGCACTCCATACTCCTGTAATTGGGTTGGAAGACTGCATGGGTGGAATCTAAATTATTCTGAGCTTGAAAACCCAACACCCAAAAAGCCCCTAATTCAAGGAAAAAAATTATGCTCTTACAAGCTCACTCATACAAGCTCGATCATTCTCCCAAAAACATGGAAATTTTTAGTTAAGGCTTCAGTCATTTTGGTTTCAGTGCTATGCACCTGGTAACAAGCTCTGCCAAATGTAGTGGAAGTGAGTTCTGTATAAGTATTCATGGGAGTGTGTTATTAATGTAACATCTCGTTCTGGTTTGAAGAGTGCTTGAAATTTTTCAGAATATTGTCTGTGTGTGTTATAGAAAGCGCTTCTGTTATTTGAATTAGCACTTTAAACCAGGTGACTTTTTAAAGAGACTTACAATAAATTGTGTGCTTGTTGTTTTTTAAATAACAACCCTATTACAATTCTTTTAACCAACTTTAAGTAAAAATAGATATTCAATCACGCTTAATCCACTCTATTTTCTCATGCATTTTACACCAGTGTGTTCCTCTTTTCCTGCCCCCTCTTTTTCTTTGCAGTGAGCTGAAGAAGAGATACAACATCACAGCCATTCCTAAACTTGTGATTGTTAAACAAACTGGAGAAGTCATCACCGATAAAGGAAGGAAACAGATAAGGGAGCGGGGACTCAACTGCTTCCGAAACTGGCTGGAAGGGGCAGACATCTTTCAGAATTTCTGCAGCTGAACCAGTGGTGGGAATTTCAGACAAAGATAGCTTAGCTAAATCCTTTGTGTAATCGGAATTCCCACCTTCACAACTAAGCCAAGCAGAGAAATGGCTTTTTCTTCGGATGGTATCTAACCAAGTCATACCCAGGGCAGACCCATTGAAATGAATGGACGCAACTAACTGTGCTCCATTGCTTTCAATGGTTCTACTCTGAGTACAACTTAGTTGGATACCCAACTTTATTTAAAATTCTGTGTGACTGGAAGAATTAAGCATAGCTGGGTCCAATGTACTCTTCCATCTGTTTTGTATTATTTATGCTTTTATTACATAGAATATAACCAAAGCTGAAGAATTTGGTAAAGGCTAGCATTATCTAGGAAAGAGGATTTTGGCACTTAGAAAGAGTGCCCTCCTCAATCTATGCAAGCCTGTTATTTTTACAAAGGTAAAAGCTCTACAGGGAAAACTATATTTCTTGGCAAGAAGACTTTTTTGGAGTATTGGTTTAAAATTTATATTACTAAAATAAGAGAGTATTTGCTTTAATAAATCCATTTATAGCTTACTTGACTCCTTTACTGCGTACCAAATTGAAAACGAAAACTCGATGGCCTTTTATCTAATGCTTCTCTTGCTATTAGTTCATGCTTTTTTTCTCTCTAGTAATATATTTCCCTCTGGAGTTTTTTGGGTTGCTTCTTATTCCACCCTGGTCTCTTCAGGTGTTGGCCTTGCAAATGCTATACAACTTGTGAATCACCGAGCCAATCATAGCCCACCAGTCATGGATGGCAGCCTGACATGAGCTTGATAAACCTCTCTATTTTTGCTCAGTTGTGTGGGCGCCGTCAAGAGAAGAAGATGCAACCTCTGTGCTTGTAGAGCAGGCTTCCTCAGCCTCGGCCCTCCAGGTGTTCTAAGACTACAATTCCCATCATCCCTGACCACTACACCTGTTATTCCAAGGAGAAAGGCCTCTGGTTTCTTAATAAATGTATATTTCAACATTTTTTTCAGTTCATGATAAATCTTCTTCCAGAAGTCTTTCACCTTGGGACAAGTCCACCACATATGGAAAAAAGTACCTTCTTTTTCTTTACATTTCCAACAAAGATTATCACTTTTGTGATAAATCTTTGCTAATTTCACAGGGTCAAGTACCATCTATACATCATCTTCATAATATTTTCCTTTAACATCGTACATGCAGTGAACTTAACCCCTTTCCTCCATAGCCTCTCCCAGTCCTCCATCATTATATTATGTCCCACATCCCTTGCCCAATCAATCATGACCGATTTAACTTGTTCATCCTTTGTATGCCACTCCAACAACAAACTGTACATTTTAGATATATTCTTATCATTAGTATCTAACAACTCCGTTTCCAATTTGGTTTTTCTGTTGCAAAACCATTTCTCTTATCCATCTTATATAATTCGTTAATTTGATAATATTGCAACCAATTCACTTTATCTTTAATTTGTTCAAATGGTTTTAATTTAAAACCTTCCTGATTCTCTAACAACAAATCTGAATACCTCAACCATTTGTTTTCCATATTTAACTTTTTTTGGGCCTGTGCTTCCATTGGTGAAATCCATTTTGGTGTTTTTCTTACTAAGATATCTTTGTATCTAGTCCATACATTGTATAATGCCTTTCTAATTACATGATTCTTAAAACCCCTGTGGGCCTTTACCTCGTCATACCATAGATATGCATGCTATCCAAATCGATTATCCCTCCAAGTCTAACACATCATCATTCTCTAATTGATTCCAATCCTTGATCTAGCAGAATGCAGCAGCTTCAAAATATATCTTCAAATCTGGCAGGGAAAAGCCCCCTCTTTCTTTTATATCTGTAAGTAATTTATATTTAATTCTAGGTTTTTCCCCCTGCCAGATAAATTTAGACAATACCTTCTGCCATTCTTTAAAACATTTGACATTATCAATGATTGGTAAAACTTGAAATAAGAACAACATCTTCGGCAATACATTCATCTTAACCACCGATATTCGGCCCATCAGTGAGAGTTTTAGATTTGACCATACCTCAAGATCTCTCTTAATTTCATTCCATAATTTTTCATAGTTATCTTTGTAAAGATTCAAATTCTTTACCAATAAACTCACACCCAAATATTTAACTTTTTTCACTGAAACAAGGCCTGTCCTTTCAAAAAGGTTTTTTCTTTCCTCATTATCTAAGTTTTTTTCTAAAACTATGGTTTTGCTCTTGTTTAATTTAAATCCTGCAACTTGGTGCCTTTCAGATGTTGTTGAACTGCCATTACCAGCAGCCCCAGACAGCATGGCTGATGGGCAGAGACAATGGAAGCTGTACTGTGGCAACGTCTGGAGGGTGTGACATTGGCCACCCCAGTCAGGTGACTTGATTCTTGCTCTGTGTGAGAGAGGTTCTGGATTAAATTCCCAGACAAGCCCGGGGAAGAAGAAGAAGAAGAAGAGAAGAGTTTGGTCTTGATGTCCCACTTTATCACTACCTGAAGGAGTCTCAAAGCAGCTAACATTCTCCTTTCCCTTCCTCCCCCACAACAAACACTGTGAGGTGAGTGGGGCTGAGAGACTGCAAAGAAGTGTGACTAGCCCAAGGTCACCCAGCAGCTGCAGGTGGAGGAGCGGAGACGCGAACCCGGTTCACCAGATTACGAGTCTACCGCTTTTAACCACTACACCACACTGGCGTAGGGAAAAGAGGGGCTGAAGCTTTAGGGTTGAGGGGGGCATAGTTCAGTGATTTTGCATGCCAAAGGTCTCAGATTCAATCCCAGTTACAAGGATAAAGGAGCAATGGACACAAAAGACGTTTGGCAGAGACCCAGGAGAGCCACTTCCAATCCAAGTAGACTCTGGATGGACTCTGCATAAGGCATTTATTCCTGGAGATTGCGATGGGGCTTTCTAGCCAGAATATAGACGAAGCCTGGGCATTAGAAGATGTGTGTACGACAGGATGGCACACCTGTGGCCTCTTAATTTTATGTGGCCGTCAACCTCATTTCAAAAGCCCTCTGCAAGTGGTAAGTTCAGACTTCTGCCAACACCATCTCTCCCTCTCCAGCAGCCTACTGGCTGGGGAAGAAGAGAGGCTGAGAAAAGGGATAGCCTTGCCCACTTCAGATTCTGCCTCACCTGCCAACTATTATTATTATCATTTATCATAATTTAGTGTTTTCAGACATCTCTTGGTTATCTCTTTGTGGCAGCAACTGGCAGCTGCATCTCGCAGGCCTCAGAGTGGATACAAAATTCATTTACTGTAGTCCTTATGATACATTTCCACATATTTTCAGTCTTACATGTGACACTCAGCAGCCAGGCACAACTCTCAACCTGGAGAAGTGAGTCTGCTGATGGCCGTCTTGTATCCAGTCTGGTCAGCTCACCCAATCCTATATTATTATTATTATTATTATTATTAATAAACCGCCCTATACCCGGGGGTCTCAGGGCGGTTCACAGAATAAAATCAAGATATAAAATCACAAAAAACATAATAAAAAAACAACAACAACCCAATAGCCCCCCCCAAAGAAAACACATTTTAAAAGGGCATAGGATGTAAATCAGATCAACCAAACGCCTGGTTAAAAAGGAACGTTTTTGCCTGGTGCCTAAAGGTGAATAATGAAGGCGCCAGGTAAACTTCCCTGGGGAGGGCATTCCACAGATGGGGAGCCACTACAGAGAAGGCCCCGTTCTTGTGTTGCCACCCTCCGGGCCTCTTGAGGAGGAGGCACACGAAGAAGGGCTTCATCCCTTCCAGCCTTTGGCCCGTGGCATTCAACATTATCCCAAAGCGACCCACAACAGAAAACAGGGTGCCCACCCAGGTGTGCAGAATAACATGCAATGTGGATGGAAAGAGGCCACCTGGAACCAACATCAATGGTAGAACGCTCTGTGATGTTTCCAAAGCCTACAATTAAGCTAGAGCTCTATAATTTTTCTCTCCCTTCTGTCTTTTTTCAAGGGCAATGCGAATTTGATATAGCGGAGTAAGGAATGGCCTGCTCATCTTCACCACCTTGATTTCTTTTATCACTGGTTGTCCAAGAAGCAGCTCACATTTTACAGCCTGCAAGCTGTGCCTTTGATAAGTAAAATGCCTTTAAGAGGCTCCCTCCTCTGTGCAGATATGAACCTCTGGAGGCTTAATTGATAGGGATGCGGCTTCTGGTTAGCAACAGCCATCTGTGCTGTGGGAACAAAAGGCTCATATTTCTCTTGTAAAGTTCAACTCTGATATTGTTGTTGATCAGAGGCATTACAACCAGATACTCTGCGTAACCCGTAAGATACCCTTCTGCATAGAAGGATGTGCCTAGCTTTCAGGGCACCTCCAGACTTGTGGTGGTGTTTTTATGGGTGTATTCTGCACCATATTCATTGATGCAGTAACAGTGCACCAGTGGTGAATGTTTACTGGATCATCCACATATCATTTTTCTTTATTAGCTGTTCTGTGGTGCTTCTCCAGTGTTACTGCAACATCTCCAGCTGGAGGGGTGCTCCTTTCCTATAATGCAAGAAAAAGGACAAAACCCAAAACCAAACACCCAGAAACAGATTTTTTTTTAAAAAAAATATTATTATTGCAAAACAGCTTACATAAAACAACACAGACAAACAAAACAAAAAAGAACAGTACATCAGTAACAACTACACACACACTAACAACAACTTTTTAAACTTCATACACATTTTGGACTTCCGATTCACCTTATTGTGCTTTTTACATATTCTTAGCCTATAAGCCAGGGGTTAGCAAACTTTTTCAGCAGGGGGCCGGTCCACTGTCCCTAAGACCTTGTTGGGGGGCCGGACTATATTTTTTGGGGGAGGGGGGAAGAACAAATTCCTATGCCCCACAAATAACCCAGAGATGCATTTTAAATAAAAGCGCACATTCTACTCATGTAAAAACACACTGATTCCCGGACCATCCGTGGGCCGGATTGAGAAGGCGATTGGGTCAGATCTGGCCCCCGGGACTTAGTTTGCCTACCCATCGACTAGCTGCTCCATCTCCTCATTGTTTTCAAGACAGGGCAGGTGAACAGACGGTGATAGCAAGGAAGAAGAGCTATAGAACCAGGAGACTCCAGAGAGAATGGCAGTGGCAGGGTAAATCACGGTTGCATGAACACCATACATTTAAAGTACATGAGTTTCCCCAAAGAATCCTTGGAGCTGTACAATAGTTTATTAAGAGTGCTGGGAATTGTATCTCTCTGAGGGATAAACTGCAGTTCCCAAGAGTCTTTTTTTGGGGGGAGGGGGACGTCTGATTTAAATATACTTTGAATGTATGTTGTGCACACAACCAGGACACATTACGGAGGAGGTCCTGTGTTCTGTGGCTTCTTGGTGTCTGCAATAATGTGCATTTTTGTCTCTAGCTTTTGGAAGAAAACCGTTTTAAAATATTAGTGGTGGTGATGGCAGGAACAGTAAAGGTATAGTTTCTAGAGCTGATTGTGTCAAAGCACTCAATCTGAGAAGAAAATTCTCTTGGCTGTCTGCTGGGTTTTGAAAAAACTATATATTATTATTTGCAATCATTGTAGCTTCAGCTTGTTCATATTGCTTTTATTAATTTGCAGGATGGCATTAAAGAAGGTCAGTTCAGACAGATGTTTGTACTGAGCAAGTTCAAGCTGAGGCTTTCCTGTAGTCTGGCGGTGTGTGGGTTGCTGCAGATTCTCTGCTGTCAACTGCTATGAAGACAAATATACAGATCCTTGAATCCTCCTCACAGAAGGATTTATTGTCGTCATCTTTCTCCTTATTTTACTATGCAGTATATTTAACATAAGCGTCTCAGACACAAAACATGCTTTATGATTGGGTTTTTTTGGCTTTCGGAAACGAGGGGTATATTTTAGAACTCTAAAATCCAGAGTGAAGAGGTTGCTATGGAAAACAGCCAGAAGGTGAAGCACAGCAGGCTGTTTTTGTGTCATAGAAATGTTAAATTATTTCGGACAGGTAGCCAAGCTTTGGTCTGAAGCCAAGTCAAACTGAAGTCCCGGAGCCCCTTAAGAGACTAGCATTTTTATTGTGGCATATAGCACAATAAAATTGCTAGTCTTGAAAGTGCCACTGGCTGCTGTTCTTAAATGATGGCATTCTTATGCGCAGAGGTGTGTATAGATGCTAGGAGAGGGTATATTTTTAAGATATTATCTTTTCTTCTGCACGTTTGTGAGCTCAGCAGAGTGTATCCATTGCAGCTTGAAAGGGAAGCTTGTGTAGGTTAGTTTTAGCCTTTTAATTTAAGTAATCCAGGGTGCTTTAAGGCAGACTGGATTTCTCTGCTATTTCCCCCTTTCCTCCCACTTCAAACAATAATCACACAAACAGTCTTGTAAAGGTAAAAATAACATTTACTCATCTCAGAGTTTCAAATGGTAATTCCATTACAAAGACATACTTAAGGCTAACTTAAGAGGGTGTCTGAACAATGGAGCTCAGGCGTGCAGATTTTTCTCACGTTTCTGGCTTGGCAATGAGATGAAGAAGAGTGAAGGGAGCCAAATAAGGATGTGCCCAGGCAGGTACATATATACATGCCTATGCCCTCTCCCCGTCAGGGCACAGTGGGAGTGACTCTCACAGAATTCTAGCAAACTTACTGGAAAACTGTGAGCTTCACCTCCTATCATGTGCCCATCTAGCAAACAATGAATCATTGGTTTGACTGCCCTTTGACTACCCCACACTATGTGAGCCCTCCATTGGTTGCCAGTTCATTTCTGGGTCTAATTTAAAGTGCTCATGCTAGTGTTTAAAGAACTATGGGCTTTGAAGATGCTCAAACTCAGGATGAAAGGGAGAAACGTGCTAAGAGGAAGGCATGCTTGGCAAACCCTCACCGTGATCAACTTCCGCCCGGAAACCTAAGTCCCCTCTGTGGAAGGACGTGTGGATCCAGAATTGGCCTCCAGAGTCACTTACGAACTCACTGTCAAAACTGTGTTTATGGAAGACTATCTTACTCAGCGAAAGGCTGGGCTGGATGAATCCCAAGCCGGAATTAAGATTGCCGGAAGAAATATCAACAACCTCAGATATGCAGATGACACAACCTTAATGGCAGAAAGCGAGCAGGAATTAAATAAACTTTCAATGAGGGTGAAAGAGGAGAGTGCAAAATATGGTCTGAAGCTCAACATCAAAAAAACTAAGATCATGGCCACTGGGCCCATCACCTCCTGGCAAATAGAAGGGGAAGAAATGGAGGCAGTGAGAGATTTTACCGTATTTTTCGCCCTATTGGACACACTTTTTCGCCTCCAAAAATGAAGGGGAAATCTGTGTGCGTCCTATGGGGCAAATGCAGGCTTTCGCTGAAGCTTGGAGAGCGAGAGGGGTCGGTGTGCACCGACCCCTCTCGCTCTCCAGGCTTCAGGAAGCTATCAGCAAGCCTGGGGAGCCTGCGGGAGTTCCCGCAGGGCTCCCTAGGCTGCAGATAGCAGCCTGCTGCCCAGAGCGTGGGGCGCGCTGAAGCAGAGCGCCCCACGCTTCGGGCAGATATCCGCAGCCTGTTCTTATCCAGATCAGTCACACTGCTGAGCATCATAGTCACATGGGATTATTGCTGAGCTGCTATTTGACACCAGCATTTTAATGGGCACAATAAAGTTGACGGCAAAGCTGTTAAACCAGTATTTTTATTGGCAGAAAGGAGAGGCATCCAGCAGGCAGTTCAGAGCAAAACCAACTCTGGGCCAAATTACACAATATAGGGAAGCAGCCTACTGCCCGGAGCGCAGGGCGCGCTGAAGCCGCGGCTGGGGGGGGATAATTTCCCCCCCTTTATTTCCCCCTAAAAAACTAGGTGCGTCTATAGAGCGAAAAATATGGTACTTTCTTGAGCTCCATGATCACTGCAGATGGTGACAGCAGTCACGAAATTAAAAGATGCCTCAGGAGAAAAGTAATGACAAACCAAGACAGCATCTTGAAAAGCAGAGACATCACCTTGCCGACAAAGGTCCGTATAGTTAAAGCTATGGTTTTCCCAATAGTGATGTATGGAAGTGAGAGCTGGACCATAAAGAAGGCTGATCGCCGAAGAATTGATGCTTTTGAATTATGGTGCTGGAGGAGACTCTTGAGAGTCCCATGGACTGCAAGAAGATCAGACCTCTCCATTCTTAAGGAAATCAGCCCTGAGTGCTCACTGGAAGGACAGATCCTGAAGCTGAGGCTCCAGTACTTTGGCCACCTCATGGGAAGAGAAGACTTGCTGGAAAAGACCCTGATGTTGGGAAAGATTGAGGGCACAAGGAGAAGGGGACGACAGAGGATGAGATAGTTGGACAGTGTTCTCGAAGCTACCAGCATGAGTTTGACCAAACTGCGGGAGGCAGTGGAAGACAGAAGTGCCTGGCGTGCTCTGGTCCATGGGGTCACGAAGAGTCGGACACGACTAAACAACTAAACAACAAATCTTACTCAGCTATGAGTGATTGCCAAAGAAGAAGACGAAGATATGATTGAGGTCCCCAAATATCTCTAATAATGCAATCTTTCCCTAAGGACCCTCTTGGGTGTTAAGATGGGCAGAGGGGGCACTCTTTGCAGCTCCATCAACCTCAGAAGCTCAGGGGTGGTGGCCTAGGAGAGCACATCCTCTGTGGCAGCCCCTACGTTGTGGAATTCCCACCACACAGAAATGCTTCTGGAATGTTCATGAAAAGTTCCTGATGTGTACTGAAGATGCACCTCTACCTTGGCCTTTGAGATATGTGTTAGCAGGATCCGCCCTATTCCCATGACTGTAATTTGTTTTAACTTGAATTTTAAATCGCTGTAAGCCACCACCCTCGGACCTGCTGGTGGAGGGTAAGTAAACACAAACAAACAAACATGCAAAAATAGGTGCTGAAACCCCAAAGGAGCAGAAAAGACTATGTATGCGACTGTGGCGGTGTGGATGTTTTTGGCCCAGAGATGGAAAGAAGATAAAGTCCCTACCAGAGAAGAATGGCAGATTAAATGGATGGACCATGCCGAAATGGCTAAAGTGAGCGGAAGAATCAGAAATCAGGAATTTTAATAAGGAATGGGGAAAATTTATAACTTCTCTTAAAGACCATTGTAAACAGTTAAAATCGTTAGGAGGACTAGAACAGGCATAGGCAAACGCCGGCCTTCCAGATGTTTGGGACTACAATTCCCATAACCCCTAGCTAACAGGACCAGTTGTCAGGGATGATGGGAATTGTCGTCCCAAACATCTGGAGGGCCGGAGTTTGCCTATGCCTGGACTAGAAAATCACTTGTAGTTTAATGGTGGACACAATGGAGATGAGAAAGAATTGGATTTTCATAAAAGATGCAGGAGGAAATGATTCATAATAGGACCCACAAAGGGGAGATTGGAACTCTAGGAGATTCCTTGGACTCTTGTTTTTATATTTAAGTTTTGATATATGACTGTAAATTTTTAATCTGAAAAACCAAATAACTAAATTAAACAAACCAACCAACCAATCAACAAACAAACTATTAATAATGTCATTGGTTCTCAGCTCAGCCTTCTGAGCTGAATGGCTTGGGGCATTATATAAACCCTTGGCCTTGACCTGTCGCTGTCTACAAGGTAGTGCTGCCAGAAGATTAAAAGAGATCAGTGGTAGAGAGCCGTGGGTCTTCGGGAACACATTCGAGATAATGTTGCCTGTCTGATTTCTGGATTTCCTGTTCATCCTACAGCATGGAAATAAAAAAAATAAAAAAATAAAAAAATGTCCAGTAGCACCTTAGAGACCAACAAAGTTTGTTCTTGGTATAAGCTTTTGTGTGCATGCACACTTCTTCAGATACACTGAAACAGAAGTCACCAGACCCTTATATATAGTGGGAGGGTGGGGGTTTTCTTAGGAGAATAGTAGGAGATGGGTGATTGACTCAATGGGTATGGTAAACCTGTTGACGACTGTTAACGACTGCAATTAGTCTTACAGGAAACAGCAGACAATTGTATGCAGACAATTAGTATATGTAATGAGACAGGAATCCAACATCTCTATTCAGACCAGGTCTCGCCATAGTTTTCAGTTTAGTGATAAGTTGTAATTCAGCAACTTCTCTTTCAAGTCTGTTTCTGAAATCCTACAACATTGTTTGTGAATAGTTCATAAACCTACGCAGAACAGCATTGGGGTAACTTCAGGCAGTGGAGAGTCTTACAAGGAAATCAGCATCCCCCCCCCCCGAAGCAAGTTTTTTTGGGTTTTTTTATTTTAAATACATCATTACAATAAATATGCAAACTGTAAATATTTCAGAGAGAATTCCGTCTCGAGGACTATTCTCTCTTGTTGTGTGAACTGATTTAACTGTTGAGGGAATACGCAGGGCTCTGTTAGTTATTGAGGAGCATTCACTTGAGACTCTTGTTTCTTCAAGGATCACAAAACAGATGATTTTAATCTCCGGAGGCAGGCTCTTTAAACAGCAAATGCTTCTCTTCAGCTAATGTAAAGATTTTCACTGGGGTCAGCAATCATCAAGTTTTTTGTTTTGTTTTTCCCGTTACTTCTCAGTATTTGCTTTTCTTTTAAGCCTTGTCATAGTGCCAGTCCCTCCAAGCTTATACAGCCTTTGCCAGCACAGAAACTTACCATACTTTAGATCACTGGGCAAAGGATTAGGATGCTACCATGACAGGCAATTCTGTGAAAATAGTACTGGGAGCAGAGGATCCCCATCACTGCAGAGGATTACAGGTAAAATCAGGATCTTCCCATCTGATGGGGGGCCTATTACTTCGAAATCCATTAAAAGACACCTCATTCCACACACATATCTCCCCCAAAAACACACCTTTGAATTTCCAGAGAGGATAAGAAAGTGAAACGCAGCTGTCACAGGCAGGTTTGTCAGATCGAAAAGAGCCCACCAATGGGCACCCAGCTGAAACAGTCCACAGAAGCCTTTGAAGTTCAAAGTTGGCATCGTTTCTTTGAAGGTAAATGTTCTAGAGGTAACAGATTATTATTTCCAGATGTCCTGCTAATTAAGCTGAGGAAAAAACTGTGAGGCAATTACTAATTTGAGCATGCAGAATTGTCCAACTGGAGACTGTAATTGGATATGGAAATTTGTTACCTAGAAACATCGGTAATTAATACATGTAAATCTGCATCTGTGGAAAAACAGGATCACAAGCAAACAGGGAGAACATTCTAGCATTGTCAACAATCCCTCTTCACAATATATATACCATCATGCATGCACAAACCTTGTTGTGTTTCATTTGACACTGAGTTGCTGTTTAGTTTCTTTAATCTCCCATTTTAGCCTGCCGCTTTTATTGTTAGTGAGGTCCATAGACCCTACCAAAACTTAATATTAAATATTAAATCAAGATATAATACTAATACTAATAATAATTTTTATTTATACCCCGTCCTCCCTAGCCAAGGCTGGGCTCAGGGCGGCTGCAGTGGTTCCCAACCTTTTTTTGTCCATGCCCCACCTAAGCACCTCTAAAATCCTGATACTCCCCCCCCATGACATATAATTCTTATTATTCAAAAAGTGAACTCCTATTCATGTCAATAGGAGTATAGCATCTAGATCAAGGGAAGTAATAGTGCCACTGTATTCTGCTCTGGTCAGACCTCACCTGGAGTACTGTGTCCAGTTCTGGGCACCACAGTTCAAGAAGGACACTGACAAACTGGAACGTGTCCAGAGGAGGGCAACCAAAATGGTCAAAGGCCTGGAAACGATGCCTTATGAGGAACGGCTAAGGGAGCTGGGCATGTTTAGCCTGGAGAAGAGGAGGTTAAGGGGTGATATGATAGCCATGTTCAAATATATAAAAGGATGTCACATAGAGGAGGGAGAAAGGTTGTTTTCTGCTGCTCCAGAGAAGCGGACACGGAGCAATGGATCCAAACTACAAGAAAGAAGTTTCCACCTAAACATTAGGAAGAACTTCCTGAGAGTAAGAGCTGTTCGACAGTGGAATTTGCTGCCAAGGAGTGTGGTGGAGTCTCCTTCTTTGGAGGTCTTTAAGCAGAGGCTTGACAACCATATGTCAGGAGTGCTCTGATGGTGTTTCCTGCTTGGCAGGGGGTTGGACTCGATGGCCCTTGTGGTCTCTTCCAACTCTATGATTCTATGTGGAGGAAGCCTAAAAGGCCATTAACTTGGTCTACACAAGCTTCCACAGAACATGGCATCCATGAAAGAGAAATAAAAGAACGAAAGGACAGTTGAAGTACTGAGGAAGAAATTGTTTAATAACAATAATATGAAGAGATATGAAAAAATAGCAAATAAAGTTTCAAAACATATAATGCAAAACTGAAATGCATAAATATAAAATAATTTTAATGGAAGCTTTTTCTGTAATACTTTGAACATTTTAATTACTATACAATAAAATAAAGGTACCTAACAAATTCCTTCCCTCTCTTTCTGTAGCTCCTTAAATTTATTTTTAATATCTTCTGCATATCCAAATTAACTTAATTTGCTCATTTTTTCATCTACTTTAAATATATACTGTTATCAAACTGCAGGTTATTACAATAATCCTGGCAATGTTCTTATCTCTTTGCAATTTGTCTGTAAATATTCAAAAAACCATTTCCATTCTTTTATAAAATGTTTCTTATTCTTCTGGTAAGTTTCACCATTTCTGCATATTCCATAAGTTTTTATATCCATTCTTCCTTTACTGGGACTTTTGATTCTTTCCATTTTGGGGCAAGTAACTTTGTTGCCACTGTGGTAGCATACATAAATAAGTTTCTATACAGTTTCGGTAGTTCTAGCCCTATAATTCCCCAAAGAAAAGCTTCTGAGTTTTTTTACAAACGTTATTTTGAACATCCTTTTCAATTCATTATATATCATTTCCCAGTAAGCTTACTGCAAGACCACCACATATGATAAACAGAACCTTCTTTCTCTTTACATTTCCGACACTTACTTGATTTAAATTTATACATTTTTGACAGTTTACTCAGTGTTAGGTACCAGCGATATATCATTTTCATATATTTTCTCTTAGACTATAACATGCTGTAAATTTTATATCCATATTCCGCAATAGTTCCCATGCTTCCATGTCTATATTATGACCGATATCTATTGCCCAATATATCACTGAGGATTTTACTTGCTCATCCTTCCTCTCCCATTCCAATAATATCTTATACATTTTAGACAGCACTTTTACATTACATTCAAACAGGTCTCTCTCCAGTTGTGATATTAATGGATGGAGGAAGGTTGGTGGGGGAAACAGAGAAATTTTCAGCACTGCAAACATCCTCAGTTTAAATTCCCTACATTGGCAAGGAAGCAAGAAGCGTCTCCAAAGCTATGGATTGATTTAAAGGGAGCTCTCCTATTTTGTTTTCATTAGATAGATCCGTGGTTCTTCAAATACAGCTTGGTGCATTATATGCCTAGTCTTCTATGAAGCTGTTTTCTCAGAAAAGTGGAAATTGCCTTTCAGGTCTCTCTCCTCTGTTGCATTCAAAGAGAAAGGCAATTTCTTTTAATGTCGATTCTTTGTGCAAAAGTGCCACAGAATCTTCTTAGCTCTCACTTTGCCGTTTTCAGTCCAAACAGTGACATCTTCCAAAATTTGTTTATTATTCAGGGGTGGGGGCTACATTAAAAAAAAAAGGAAATATATTCATTTCCTCAATTTCCCTCTTTTTGAAGTGGTTTTCCCCCTCAAGTTAATTATATGGAAGATAGAGGTGCAAGGCAGGAAGTGTTAGTGTTTGAAAGGTAAGTGCTCATCCATATATTTTAAAGACACTTAGAAAATGCATATCCATTCACTTTCTGAAGTCATTCCAGACCTGCAGCCAGAGAGCAGTATTCTGCCACTATTTTATGTACCCTTATACTTTGCCTTAGCCCAACAATTTCCATTTTGTCTGGAAAGGAAGGCCAGAGAAATGGAGCAGATTAGGACAAAACACACTTGAAGGTTCCCACTGAAATTCCCCATTAAAATGTTTAGCCTGACGCCTAAAGGTGTATAATGAAGGCCCCAGACGAATGTCCCTGGGGAGAGCATTCCACAGACGGGGAGCCACTGCAAAGAAGGCCCCGTTCTCATGTTGCCACCTTCTGGACCTCTCGAGGAGGAGGCACACAAAGGAGGGCCTCAGAAGATGATCTCAGGGTCCGGGTAGGTTCATATGGAAAGAAGCGGTCCTTGAGGCATTGCGGTCCTGAGTTGTTTAAGGCTTTATAGGTCAAACCCAGCACTTTGAATTGTATGCACTGGTGTTGACCTCCTAAAATCATTAATGCTCCATCTTTCTCCACTCTGAAGCAACACCATATTATTGGCAGTGAAGAGCTCTGAGTTTTTGAATGCCTTTTACAAGAAGTACTTTAAATATGACTAGGAAACCAAGTCCCACTCTCTTTTGTGAAACTGCTAAGTAGAAAAGAGGAACAACTTTTTCTTCAGAAGTTTTTTTCCTTAGGTTTTCCAAAAATTCACACATACATTTCAATACATAATAACTTCCGACTTCCCACTCCCCTTTTCCATGGTGATTCTATTTCTCTACCTCTGAGGCAGCCTGTTTTCGATCTCTTCAACCTTAGCAGAACTACAATAATCTTTAATCCCTTCTGTTGCTTGTAGCTCAAATCCTGCTCACGTGTTCATCATATAATAATGTTTCTTCAAATAATCTGAAAATTCTTCCACAAAACCTTCGGCATTAGGTTCTCTTATTTGAGCTGCTAACCTTACCACTTCTGCATAATCCATCACCTTACTTATCTACTCTGCTTTGCTTAGTATTTCTGCTTCCATTTTTGTACATAGAGAATCCTAGCTGAAAAGAGAAACGTCTTCTTTTGTGCACCCAGAAATTGCTATTCCGGGATCACAGCATTCTCTTGCCCTTTTTGAGGCTATAACTGTCTCGGACTCCCGGCTCACATCTTTGTGATTTCATGCACTGCGATGTTGATAGATAGAACAATTCTGCATTTTTTGTTTTCTCCACTGTAAGTCTGTTCTTGCATCTCTGAATTCCTGCACTCCAGGAGACTCCAGGAAATATATTGTTGGGATGAACTCAGTCTGCCTGACTGGAATGCCATACTGAATGGCTTTTTCTGTGCTCCCACTTCCAGCAGATACAGTGGTACCTCGGGTTACATACGCTTCAGGTTACAGACTCCGCTAACCCAGAAATAGTACCTCGGGTTAAGAACTTTGCTTCAGGATGAGAACAGAAATCATGCAGCAGCGGCGCGGCAGCAGCAGGAGGCCCCATTAACTAAAGTGGTGTTTCAGGTTAAGAACAGTTTCAGGTTAAGAACAGACCTTCAGAACAAATTAAGTACTTAACCCGAGGTACCACTGTACTGCCCAGCGAAGAAGGATGCCTCACCCCGGGGCTTCTACATTAAGCACAGAACCTACTTAGAATCATAGAATCGCAGAATTGCAGAGTTGGAAGGGAACCCCAAGGGCATCTAGTCCAACCCTCTGCAATCTTGGAATCTACTTGAGTAGAGCAGGCTTCCTGCTGTAGACGGTGGCCCCCAAAGGAGGGCAGCGAGGGGAGAGCTAGCACAATGGTCCCCACTCTCTTCCCAAGCGTATTAATTTAACCCAAAAGCTGAAAGCTTGAATAGCACGTAAATTGTCAGGAATTCAGCCTACACTTGAGTAAGACCCTGGCAGAGACACATGCCTGACTGGCATGTTCTCTCCCTCCTGGTCGATCGTTCGGGAGCTTCAAAAGCTTTCTTCTGCCTGAACATCACAGCGACCGATGCCAACAGACACCGGCACACTTAGGGATCCGCAGAGTTTGCGCATCATGCGTAACAGACCTCAGCAACTCAGCATTTTGGCTAATCTACTTTTATTTGCATATAAACACACACAGAGCACTGCAACATGGCTCCCTCTTTCTCTAGCATCAGACAGCAAAGAGAAAAAGAACAAAGGACAATAGTCCCACTTCACGGAACACAGTAACACAAACATCCTGTCTCCGTCACTTCCCACTCAGTGGTGTCAAAACATACACCGTCATATGATAGACAACAATTCCAGGACTACAGTCATGGAGCAGGAATTCTAACATCCTCCCCCAATTCATGATCTGTGTTGCAGTCATCAGTGTAACTGCAACAACCATACAGATGTCATACACACAGTGTACCCCTGTATCACCCGTTCCACCCTTGGAACTACCTGCAACTGGATTAGCCTTGGGCCTCACCATCTTGCACATCTGACTAGTCTTGGCATCATAACCCTACTGACTATCAGGAAGTCTCACATCTGGCTTTGTTGGGACTCGAACCCTAGCCTCGGTCCTCTCTGAGGAATCAGTGTTGGCACACAAGGCCTCTGGACGTGGTCCAGTTCCCTCCTCCAAGGCAACAATGTCTACCCTTACAGTCTTTGGGTGTGGTTTCCCGTCCCTTGAGGACAAACCCTATACCCCTTTCAAGACCCCGGGTTTCAAGACCTGTGTCAAGCCACTAACCACAGCTAAATCTGCAACAGCTGTGCTAGCAAACTCCTGAGCAAACCTGGTGGGCACCTCACCCTTTGTAGCTCCTCCTGAGCTGCGCACCTGTTGCATCTCCTGGCGCACCTGGCGCATAAATAACCCCGTAAGAATTCTAGAAAATAATCGGCCACAGCATGTCTACTCGTTTATTAGTAGTGTAAAACTGATGAGCCAGCATCTCTGTGAGCCTTCTCGCCATCCCAAGACAGGAAAGATGCATCCGCGTGACATAATTTAGTGTTTTCTGACATCTCTTGATTATCTCTTTGTGGCAGCAACTGGCAGCTGCATCTCGCAGGCCTCAGAGTGGATACAAAATTCATTTACTGTAGTCCTTATGATACATTTCCACATATTTTCAGTTCCACATATTTTCAGACACACAGCAGCCAGGCACAACTCTCAACCCGGAGAAGTGAGTTTGCTGATGGTCGTCTTGTATCCAGTCTGGTCAGCACACCCAATCCTATATTATTATTATTATTATTATTATTATTATTATTAATTGAATTTATACTGCCCTATGCCTGGGGGTCTCGGGGCGGTTCACAGAATAAAATCAAGATATAAAACCACAAAATACATATTGAAAATAAAAGTAACAACAACTCAATAACACCCCCTCAAACAACTACCACATTTTAGAAGGGCATGGGATGTCAATCAAATCAACCAAAGGCCTGGTTAAAAAATAATGTTTTTGCCTGGTGCCTAAAGGTGTATAATGAAGTTGCCAAGCGAACTTCCCTGGGGAGAACATTCCACAGACGGGGAGCCACTGCAGAGAAGGCCCCGTCCCGTTCTCATGTTGCTACCCTCTGGACCTCTCGAGGAAGAGGCACATGAAGGAGGGCCTCAGAAGATGATCTCAGGGTCTGGGTAGGTTCATATGGAAAGAGGCGGTCCTTGAGGTATTGCAGTCCTGATCCAGAGGACTGACAATTTTCCAGTTCCTTTACTCTGTCAAAACTGCCGTTCTACCCCTCAGAATCCAAATATCCTGCTTCTGTGTCTGCGAGTTAGCAAGCATGTTTTGCACTTTAAGCGATATTCTTTGGGGAGCTTCGTTCCAGATTTTTCCATGTGTTCCACAAAACCATGGCCATATGTTACAGTTTGGTTCTGCTGTACCTCGTCCAATGTTGTTCTCAGTTAAATAGCTTTCAAAATACACCACCGACCATTTGGGTGGGAGGATCTATTTGGTGCTAACCATTTCTGGTTGTGTAAGTTGGTTTGTGTCCTTGCTTAAAAATAATAAAAATAATTTTCACATCAGTTTTAGAAAGTCAAACAGAAACTTTTCTCTCCCCAGTTCTTCCAATATCCTTCTCGTTTTTCTGTTGGATCGCCTCTCGTAAGTGAAAATGTGTTTCCTTTTAGGAAGGTTTCAGTTTGCCAAACCTCAGAGGAATTACAGTTATTTGCTATCTGAACTCACTGTAAACAAATCAGGAAGGCCGATCCTAGATGATGCCAAGGTGCCACATATTTTGTGAGAGATGCACAGACCAAAAGTTTACAGGGAGGTTTTTGGATGTCTTTATGAGGCAGAGTTGATAAGTGCCTGGCCACTCCTCAGCCGTGAGTGAAAAGGCCCATTGCAATATTATATAGCGCTTTCAAATTCCCACTTCAATGTTTAACCACAAGAGGGCAATGTCATTCTTAAATTCAGCATGTAACACAAAAGACAAGACAAGTCTCCAGTATCTTTCAAACTGCAGCCCTCGCTATTAGTACTTCTGCTCTCATGACCAAATATTCTGTTTTATAATTATTAGTGATATTTTCATAGGCGTCAGGGAGAACATTCAATTTAGCTTAAGAAGGGTGAAGGTTGAGAATACAGTGGTACCTTGGTAATCAAACTTAATCAGTTCCGGAAGCCTGTTCCAAAACCAAAGCATTCCAAAACTAAGGCGCGCTTTCCCATAGAAAGTAATGCAAAACTAATTAATCCATTCCAGACTTTTAAAAACAACCCTAAAACAGCAATTTAACATGAATTCTACTATCTAACAAGACCATTGATCCATAAAATGAAAGCAATAATCAATGTACTGTACTATAAAATAAATATAACAGAATTGTAGATGATAAAAATTAAAATTATTTTCTTTTCTAACCTACGCTGATTATAGTCATTGTTTGGATGGGGGGCTTTTAGGCATTTCAGCAGTCAGTGAGTCAATCAATCAATCAATCAATCAATCAGTAGCTGAACTGGGATCCACATAGTCACAAAAACAAATTAACTGAAAAAGCCTCAAAAGAAAATATGCAAAATAAATAGCAAAAACAAAAGCACAAAATATAAGCTCCAAATATCAGTTCAGAACACTGCAATCGGAAACAGAAGGCTTGAATTAGAATGAAGGGGATGCAAATTACCAGGTATACTGGACCGAGGCTGAGTAGGGCTTTAAAGGTCAGCACTAACACTTTGAATTGTGCTTGGGAACGTACCGGGAGCCAATGTAGGTCTTTCAGGACCGGTGTTATATGGTCTCGAGGGCCACTCCCAGTCACCAGTCTAGCTGCCGCATTCTGGATTAGTTGTAGTTTCCGGGTCACCTTCAAAGGTAGCCCCACATAGAGAGCATTGCAGGAGTCCAAGCAAGAGATAACTAGAGCATGCACCACTCTGGTGAGACAGTCTGTGGGCAGGTAGGGTCTCAGCCTGCGTACCAGATGGAGATGGTAAACAGCTGCCCTGGACACATAGCCTGAAAGCAGTTGCTAGCGATAACCATGACATAGTGACTTATCTGACACAAAGCTATCACTTTGTGAGAAAATGCACTGCAACCATTCAGAACCGGAGACCTCCTGTGGCGTGATGGGTCAGTGTGCCTGGCTGTTAACCAGAAGGTTGGTGGTTCGAGCCCACCCAGAGATGGCTGTGGGCAGAATTCCTGCATTGCAGGGGATTGGACTAGATGACCCTCGGCCCCCTTCCAACTCTATAATAATAACAAGTTATTATTTAGACCCTGCACTACAACAATTCTATGACTCTATAACTCTCTAAGGCACTGTGGTGCAAACCATTGAGCCTCTTGGGCTTTGGGATCGGAAGGTTGGCAGTTTGAATCCACAAAATGGGGTGAGCTCCCATTGCTCTGTCCCAGCTCCTGCCTACCTAGCAGTTTGAAAGCACACCAGTGCAAGTAGATAAATAGGTACCACTGTGGTGGGAAGGTGAATGGCGTTTCCGTGTGCTCTGGTTTCCCTCACGTTGTTCCGTTGCATCAGAAACTACTGTTAGATTCATCATGAGACGTCCGCCAGTTTCCAACCACAGATACCAGCAGCCTTCAAGCAGGCAAACTTGCCTTATTATTGCTCCTTAGCATCCCACTGCCAGAGGATTGCCTCCTTCCATTCACCAGTTTGCCTCCTCTAAGTGGGAGAAACCTGGGCAGTGCTGAATGTCACATCCATTGCCAGGTGTGTCCTGTTGAAAATTAAAAAGGGCTTTCCCCTTGGCCTGCCTGTATATCCACTCAGTTGCCAAGGGCTTTTGTGACATCACAAGAAACCCACAGCCAGTGGCAACAGCTGGGGAGGCATCATCTTCATCACTTCGAGCCTCACAATGGCGAGTGGACCTATCAGTGATTGTGTGCTTGTTTATTCAGGAAGCGGGTGGCGCTGTGGTCTAAACCACTGAGCCTCTTGGGCTTCCCAATCAGAAAGTTGGTGGTTCGAAGCAGTGTGACGGGGTGAGCTCGCTTTGCTCTGTCCCAGCTGCTGCCAACCTAGCAGTTTGAAAGCACGCCAGAGCAAGTAGATAAATAGGTACTGCTGTGGCGGGAAGGTAAACGGCATTTTTGTGCACTCTGGTTTCTGTCACAGTGTTCCATTGCGCAAGAAGCGGTTTAGTCCTGCTGGCCACATGACCTGGAAAGCTGTCTGTGGACAAATGCCGGCTCCCTCAGCCTGAATGTGAGATGAGCGCCGCAACCCCATAGTCGCCTTTGACTGGACTTAACCATCCAGGAGTCCTTTACCTGTTACCTTTACCTAAGAATAGCTTTATTTGTGAAAGGTCGGGTGCTTTCTGATGATGTGCTACAGCCAAGGCTTGTCTGGGCATCTGCTGAGAGCCCATAGCTCAGCAAAGGGCCCCCTGGCCAAAAAAACCTGGATCTGCTCCTCTTTTCACCATTGCAATTTATTTGTTTATTCCCCCGCCTCTTGCTTAGGCCCAGACAATGGCAGTGTTGAAAAGTTGGTTCCAAATGCAGTTGCACCATAGATTTGTATAACAGCGGTATGATATCAGCGCTTTTGTTTTCAGCTGCTTTCCTAATGGTCCCTAGCATGGAATTTGCCTTTTTCACAGCCAGCACACACTGTGTTGACATCTTCATTGAGCTGTCCGCTACGGCCTCGAGGTCTCACTCCTGGTCAGTCACCGACAGTTCAGGCCCCATGAGCGTTTATGTGAGGCGCAAACCAAACAAAGAACGTAACACACATGCCCGAACAAAAATATGAAAGCTAGCAACATCTTTAAACAAATATCTACAGCGTGAAAAGATAGCTAACCAACCTATTTTGTGTAGCTACTAAATAACATGTCTGAAGGCAGCAGAGGTAAGCATATGGCTATCCTGATGAGAGTTATACAAAAGATCAAATAATTAGCTATGTAACTTAGCGTATATACAGTGGTACCTTGGGTTACATACGCTTCAGGTTACAGACTCCGCTAACCCAGAAATAGTACCTCAGGTTAAGAACTTTGCTTCAGGATGAGAACAGAAATCGTGCTCCGGTGGCGCGGTGGCAGCAGGAGACCCCATTAGCTAAAGTGGTGCTTCAGGTTAAGAACAGTTTCAGGTTAAGAACAGACCTCTGGAACGAATTAAGTACCTGACCCGAGGTACCACTGTGTGTGTTTGTGTTTGTGTGTGTGTATGGTAGCTCATTCTTTTTGATGCTTACGGTTAACCAGTGGAGTATATTGAAAACCACCTTCTGCACGCATGATAATTTCATGAAGGGACTAAACATCTATTACTTCTTTCCATCCTTCTGTTGTCTCCCTGAATATGCTCAGGATATATATATATTCTGCTCTCCTTTGCTATCTCCTCCCTTTTCTCTTTAGTTTATCCCGCAGAGCCACAGAAGTGCTTTTATTTAATAAGATGACCTTTTTAAAAGAATCTGGCAATTGATGCAATTTCAAAATAAAACATACTCTTGGCTCATAATTGCTTCCTATGGAGTCTGTATTCATGCAAAATACAGTTGCTGCCCATCAAAGATGAAGGGTGAAAGGCTGTAATTTAAAGTGGAATGACTGGGTTTGTTTGACTTGATCCAATTTTCTGACACATTATGCTAGAAGAGTGGTTGGAGCAAAATAATGGTTTGGATCCAGAGTTAGCCTATCATGTTTAGAGAGACCCCTTAAAAATGACTGGTACTTAAGCAATCAGCACAATCCCATGTATGTTTACTTGAAAATAAGTCACACTGTGCTTCAGGGTGTTTAGAATTGGAGGCTATGTCTGGATCCAGCTCAATATGTTTAGCCTATTTATAACTCTTAGAAAGGAGAGTTGTTTGTGTGTTACGGGTATAAACTCATAGCTTACTGGTATATGGGAAATATTATTAAAATTCCCCAGAGGCAAAGAGCCATAGATTTATTTTTAAAATGGAAAAAAAAAACATGCATTTTAAGTCAAGGGCAGGAAGAATGATTTTCTTGGTATCTGTTTGAAAGACAAGGAGAATGGAGAATGGAAGAGGAAGAAAGAGTTCTTAGCAAAATACTCTGTAATCTCTTCCTCCCAAACCTAAATACAAACCTGCCGAACCAGCCAAAGATAGACAGTGCAGTGTTGTACTAACTAGACAGAGTGTTGGATTGGGATGGGAACAAAAAGATCTGTGGCAAATCACCATAAGGTCACAACATAAAACATACTGAAGGCCTTGAATAAGCTTGCTAGAGGGCCTTCTTGGTAGTGGCACCCGCGCTGTGGAACACCCTCTCATCAGATGTCAAGGAAATAAACAACCATCTGACTTTTAGAAGACATCTGAAGGCAGCCCTGTTTAGGGGAATTTTTAATGTTTGATGTTTTATCATGTTTTTAATATTCTGTCGGGAGCCGCCCAGAGTGGCTGGGGAAACCCAGCCAGATGGGTGGGGTATAAATAATAAATTATTATTAAATAATTATTAATCCAGGGACCGTCAAAGTGGTGCCCTCCAAACATTGGACTACAGCTCCCATCAGCCCCGGCCAACATGGCCAATGATCAGGGCTGATGGGTGTTTCAGTCCAGCAATATCTGGGCCGAACCACAATGGCTACCCATTCTTTAGTCTGATCACATTGACAGCACACCAGGAAGAAGAGCCCAGACAACCAAATGGGGATAAATAGGTTATGTTTATTAAACAGAACAACTTGAGGATCTTAAAAACAAACTAGTTTCAACCAATGGAAGACTCCAGAGTAACCCAAGGCCACCCCCCACAAATATCATACCTACATCACAGAAAAGGCGGTCTACAACAGAAATTTGAATGTTGTTGTTTTTCCTGTCTGCCAGGTTATCTGATAATGCCTTATCTGATTGCCTTTTCTGGTAGCCTGGCCATTTCTTTGAGATGGTGATTACCCAATTCCTGAGACAATGGGAAGGTTCCCTCACCCCCTCCCTCCTTGCAGAGAAAACATTTGGTCAGTTTGGGAGTCAAAATGGTTTCAGGACGGTCTTCCTGTGTTGCTCCTGACATGTGGTCCACATATCTATGTATGTGCTTGGTTGGTTGGTACATTTATGAACATTTATTATATATATAAGACCTTAAATTTTTTATTACAACAGAAGCAGTTTGAATTCTTTGGACTGTCTCTGCAGGTTGGACAAAACGGTCCTCGGTTCATGAGAATCTGTTTTATTTATTCAACCACAATCAACGAATAGCCAGTGCTCAAACGCAAACCAAAGTTTTCTTTCCAAAAATGTAGTTGACTGCAGTGAACCCTGAGCAGTCAAGGGCACAGATCCTGTGGGTGATGTAAAGCTGGAATGATTTCCAGCACGAGATTATAAAGGCTTTTGCCAGCAAAATCAGACATTGCGGGGGTTTCTATTTTTACAGCTCACCGATGCAACGCCTTCGAGTGCCCCACTTGCCATCACTGTGTAATATATAGGGTTGTTAGTGTTAAAATATGGCATCCTGGCCAGCTCCCAACTGCATTGCATGTTGCATAGGTAAGTGTACGCAATCTGTCATCTTCCCTGGAATGTGTATGTGGGAAATGTGCAAGGACCAAATTAGGTTTAAATCACAAGAGGGTGTGTGTGTGTTAGATTGAGAACATATTGCAGGCGAATACGGCTTACGACGACATTCTGGGAAACGGTCCAAACTTTGCAATGGTGTGGTGGCGGGTTTTCCCGCACCCCCCAGCTTCTGCAGTTGAAAGCCAGAAAGTGTCTGTCCCAAAGAAATAAACGAAGCTGCTGAGAAAGCACAAACGAGGAGCCATGGAAATAAGGCACCCATGTGTGACTCACTCTGGCACCAGCGTCTGCCCAGAAAGGGGAGCACATGCTGACCCTTCGAGCAAACAGGCAGACATTTCTGGACCCAGTCCTGCAAGACAAGAAGCCCAAAGAGCAAAGGCTGTGAGCAGCGGAGCTTTTTTAAGGGGATCAGCCAAAGTTGTCGAGCTTTTTTGGGAGATGTCGGCAAAACTTCCTTACTTGGCGTTTTGAGGGGCAGACAGTTGCTCCACTGCTCTTCAGTGCCCTGTGGCCCCCCGCCACCCAGTATGCCCTGACCCCCGCTTCCTTTGCTACTGGGCTGTGGCCAATGCATTCTAAGCAGTACCGCATTTACATATAAGCTATAGCTTAGGGCCCCACTCTCTTGGCCCCCCCCCAAAAAAAATTAAAGGAAAAAAACCTGGATGTACATTTCCAAAATATAAGATAAAAACAAATACAGTGGTGCCTTGCAAGACGAAATTAATTCGTTCTGCGAGTTTTCTCGTCTTGCGAGTTTTTTCGTCTTGCGAAGCACAGTTTCAATTTTTTCAAAAAAATCTTCAAAAACCTCAAAAAAGGCTACCACACCGCGTGCTATGAGTTGCTCCCCGAAGTCAAGTCGCAACTGCACCTCTTCAAGCAATGCACCCTGTATTACTGTAACGGTTTTAATATAAAGGAAACAAACTTGCAAGACGTTTCCGTCTTGCGAAGCAAGCCCATAGGGAAATTCGTCTCGCGAAGCAACTCAAAAAACCAAAAACTCTTTCGTCTTGCGAGTTTTTCGTCTTGAGAGGCATTCGTCTTGCGAGGTACCACTGTAAAATAAAAATAAAGCAGTGTTTTGTGTTGTGTAGGCTCCTATGATGTAAGTAATAGGCCCCGCCTGCTAGCCTGCTCCCTAAAATATCACTGGTTTGCTCATTTCTATATATAGGATGCCTACATTCTGTAATGGACTGGTTGCATGGCAACAGGTGCAAAT